AGGAAGGAAGGAAGGAAGGAAGGAAGGAAGGAAGGAAGGAAGGAAGGAAGGAAGGAAGGAAGGACGGAAGGAAGGAAGGAAGGAAAAAGTTTACAGCATTATGGCTTTTAAAGAATGTACTGATCATAATGTATTTACCTAGGTAACCAGTCCTCCAGGGCCTTGCGTGTGTCCTCTGGGTTCTTGGTTGGTTTCTTGAGCCAGCCCAGCCTGTTGGAGATGCGATGAACATGTGTGTCCACTCCTAAAAAACAATGAAGATAACCACTAAGTCTCCTTCACATGCTCATAAAAGGCTCCTGCAGCTGAGGGCCATCTTTTTCCTGGATTGTCTGAAATAAAGTTATTCATACATTCTTTCTTTTTGAGACGAGCTACTTTAGGCAATGTGGAAAGTTTTGCTGTTCAACACTATTCCGGCAACACCTAGACTTTTCCCAGCTTTTATTTATTTTGTAGCAAATAGCTGCACACATTTATGTATAAACGTTAATTAAGCAATAACAGTAACAAAAAACAAACAAAAAAAAAAGCTTCATGGAGCCAAGGTACTGCTGCTTAGACACACACACAACAATGTTGGCAGAAAGCAGAAAAATCTGCTGAAAATATAAGACAGAAGAGTCTAAAACATTTCTTGGTTTTGTACATCTGAGAAGAAGCTGGTAAGGACCAGAACAGCTGCAGAATTTTCTCAGAATTAATTTTATTTATGTGCAACTTCTCTGAAGACCTATTTTCTTATCAACAGGACCAGTTTTCCCAAGACACAACAAACTATTCTGTAAACAAAGCTGCAGCCTGCAGGTGTACAGCTGTGTTGGGACGCATAACAATGCCTCCTTGATCTAATGTTGGTATTATATCATTTCATTTTCTAATTCTATTAAAGGTAACAAAGGATAGTAGAAACAATCTTTTTTTAATATACATTACAGTAATCACATGTATTGATTACATTACATTAGATAATAATGTAATGTACAGCAAAATAAAAGGCAACAGTTGGTAATAACGACTGTAATAATATTCAAGCCTGTGTTAATATTTTTTAGCTTTATACTGTAAACTATATTTAATGTTTATAGTTTAACACTGCCAGCAAATTTGGATACTTTTGGCTGTATGAATAGTGGGTTAGTATGATTGTTCGAGTTACTAAGAAAAAGTACATAACGTTCCAATGCTTTTTCACTTTGTTCACAGCAGTGGAGCTAGAGGTAGGCCAGGAATGACCCTGGCCACACCTAGGCAATCATTGGCTACCAGGTGCTTTGTTGCTCCCATGAGGAGATAGTTTATTGCCTTTGAATCAAACAGTTCCTCTTTGAAACAGAGGGTGGCAGTATATTAACCATAAACTAGAGACTGACACGGGAGTGGATTTTCACTCCTGTCCTGTCTCACTCCCACAGAAAAAAATTGTGTCCCGTCCCGATCCCGGGCCAGAGTAGAAATCTAAATCCTGTCCCGTCCCACTCCTGGTGAAATTACTCCCACTCCCATTCCGCATGACTCCCGCTCCTGCACCACTCCCATTCTTGTTGTTTTTGAGCGCGGGTGAAAAACTCAGAGCGCAAGTTACTATTGGTTTGCTCCCGCTCCCGTCTGCTCCCGTTAATGTTTAATCCTCTACCGTCCCAATCCCGTGATCGTTACTAATACTGACTCCCATCCCACGGGAATCCCACGGGAATCTGGTCACCCAGACAAAACTGTCACGGCTCTGTCACTATTTCTTTAGTATAACACCAAGAACTTTGAATTTGTGTACTATTTTGACATTTGACTTTATCTGTATTTTCAGTTCCTTGTCCCTTTCACAGTTCCCACATAACATTAAAAATAATGTTTATGTGGGTTTTTTGCTCTCTATCAAACCTCTTCTTCTCTTTTGGTTTGTTCACTTCTTCCGTGAAAACTTTATAAGCTTTTTAAGCATATGCCCAACACAGAAAATGTCCGCTAAATATTAGAAATTTCATAACTTAAGACATTTCACATATCTTATTTCCACACATTGAGAAGCATTTTGGAGCCAAAAAAAGACCCAAGTAAGCAATGTGAATGGTAAATGGCCTGTACTTATATAGCGCTTTTTCCAAGTCAGGAGGCTTGACCAAAGCGCTTTACGCAACATTCAATCCTTCACGCATTCATACACTGATGGTGGCAAACTACACTGTAGCCACAGCTGCCCTGGGGCTCACTGATAGAAGCGGGGCTGCTGTACACCGACACCACCTGTCCCTCTGACCACCACCAGGAGGCAACGCAGGCAAAGTGTCCTACCCAAGGACACAATGACACTGAAAGGAGCTTGAACCATGGACCCTTCTATCGCAGGGCAAGATCCTACTGTAAACACACATTCCCCAGGTTCACATCCTGCTGCCTTAATAACATTCTAACCTACTGAAATTCAACCCAGATCATGTAATGTTCCAACTTTTTTTGTTTTTGTTGTTGCAATAAATAATAATTATTTTTAATATCTATAAATATTCCAGCAGCTATTCCTTACTTTGCTTCCAGTAAGGCTAAAACTGACCTTTCAAATATTTTTTAGATTAATATTAATGTCTACGGGCATCGGACAACAAAAGGCTCCTTGAAGAAGAATTTATACAGCTTCTGCAAAGTGCGAATCGTGTATATTATCAAGTGACGAAGAAGTTTGTTTACATAGATAATTTTCTAAATAGTATTTAATTATTATTATTTTATTATTAATCTATGTAGGATATAGATTTTATATCGGTATAACTTGCCCCAGTCACATTAAAGCATCACAGCGATCTATACAGTCAATAGTTTGTCACATCAGTGTTGCCGTAGCGCAAAGATGTCTGCCTCCATAAATGTCTCCTTTATAATTATAAATAGCAATCTTAAAGGCAAAGCAAACATAGAAACTGAAACGTTCCTTTCATAGATGCTAATAAATAACATACCTGTATAATATATTATATATATATGCTAGTAAATCCCTGTAATTATTACACAGTGAAGCTTTAAGTCTGGCATTAAAGTTGGAAAACTGACCTTCATTTGTTTTATCCAGCTGGATTTGTACACAACTGTGAACGCCTCAAATATAAATACACACCTATTCCAGACACTTGGTTCCAGGCAATGTCCATGGCCAGGTGAGCCATCTTAGGTCCGACCCCCGGCAGACGAACCAGCCCTTCCACGCTGTTTGGGATATCTCCCCCAAACTCAGTCATCAGCATGGCTGACGTCTGCTTCAGAAATTTCACCTTATTCTATAAAGAAGGAGGTTCTGTTTACTTCATAACTTTTATTGCAAAGGGGAGAAATGAAACAGGCTGGAAAATGATGGGGTGTTACCCTCCAGAAGCCCACAGGATAGATGAGTTCTCCCAGTTTTTTATCATCAGTGGCGACGATGTTCTCTGCAGTGCAGCCATGTGCTCGGAGCCTCTGCATAGCTGCTCCCGTTACCTGGTCCTTTGTCTGGCTGGACAGCATGAGCGACACCAACACCTGGAAGCGTCTCACCTGTGAAGGAGTATTTAACTGCACTGATACTGAGTTTCATACAATTGAAACAAAAAACAACACAGGCCACGCTTACCTGTGGAGGGGCTTCTGCGTCATAGCATTTCTCTGCTCCCATGTTATCCACAGGAGCATCGCGACCGCTCCTCATCTCCCGGATGAAACCCAACTGTTTCATCCAATCCAGAGGCTCCCAGTGCTCCACCTTTACCTGGGAAATACCATCATCTCTGTCATATTCCACCTTAACCTGCCTTCTCCTGCGACTGTGTGGAGGCTGTGACGAAGCTTCTGTCTGCTGTTCACCTAATTGGAGAAAACACAATAATATGTTAAAAAAAGATGTGTAAATATCTTTATAAGGGAGTTAGTGCTATAAACATAAGAACAAGCAGGTAGCTTTAATCTGTAAAGTGTTTTTGGCTCTTCAATACATCTGTTTAAAAGACATTTCAATAAAGCCCAGATAATGATTTATAGAATCCTATTCACTTGATCCAAGTATAATCATATATTTGGATTATACTTGGATCAAGTCATTTTGACTTGATCCAAGTATAATCCGTTTAACGTAAACATATTAGGCAAACTTGGCAATAGCAGAATAATTGGTGATCAATCAACACTTTCATTTTTTATATCATGCCAGCTGTTTGTAAGGAATGATGGCCACAAAAATAAGGAACCTTGAAAAGCAGGTGATCTCCTCCTGACTAGCAGACTTGCCTTGTGACATAAAGGGACATAAATAACAAGTACACAGGAAGGGCTGTTATTTAAGCCCAGCTATTTATGAATTTAAAGTATCCCGGTTACAATTTTGAATTCAATAGGGCCTGATATATTTAAAATAACAATGGATTTCTCTTTATTTTCTTCTATCAATTTTTCTGCTCTTGCTCATAAAGACCAGCGATGGTGGGGATTAGGTTATAAAACAATATCCAAAGCTTTGAACATATGCCAGAGCTCTGCTCGATACGTTATCCTAAAATAAAAATTGTGTGTAAAACATTAAATAGCTCAATATAAATTGATAAGTGGGGCAAGCAGAGCATTATTCATGGAAGCCGCTGGGAGATCTGTGGTCGATCTGGAGGAGCACCACAGATCCACAGCTCCGGTGGAAAAATAACACCGCACATCAACCTAAACACATCAATCCCATCAGTAAGCATGGTGGTGGCAGTATAATGATGCTTTTCTACAGAAGGCAGACAATTAACTGGTCAGATCTGTGGAAATTAATCAAGGGTAATCTTAGTGCGTAATATTTTTTTTTTAAACCAAGCTGGTTCCCTATCAATGTTTTTGTAAAAAGCTGCTTTGTTTACATGTCCAGTCATTAGTAGCCTACATCTCTGCATGGCATCCACAGTCCCAGTGATGCCAGAGACAATTAAATCAAAACAAATAGAAATTATTTACGCATGCGCAAATTACTATATGCAAATTAAAGTTTCCTCAGCTTTAATAAAAAATCTTTGTATTTGGTGAACCCAGCGTGAACATACCGGTGGATGACTCGAGTTTGGACACTGTCGCCTCCTCCGCCTCCACCTTCACCTTCACTGCAGAACTGGTGTCCACATCTCTCTGTGTGCTGGTGAGTTTGGAACTTAAAGAGGCCGCAGCTACTCTTCCAGTACTGCTACTCCGGGTGAGGACAGAGCTGCGTTGCATAAAATACGGAGAACTCATTTTATAGTTCTGGACTACATAACAGGCACCACAGCGGACATTACATATAGCGTGCAATGAAGTTAGTTTTAGGATCGTAGTCTGTTTCACGCTGTCTCTGTTATCTAAAAACCAGGAACTTATGATCGGTTTTTCATGCTTTAATTAAAGCAAAACTTACTGGATTACAATATAACATAGCTTTAGTAATCCACAAGTTCATTTAAATGTATTTTAATAAAGACAGCCTTTATATACGGAAGAGGATTAGGGCCACTGGGAAAAAAAAGAGCTAACTGATTTTTTAAATTTTATTTCAGTTTAATATGAACTCTTGAGTTTAATCTCAGAATTCTGACTTTTCTCATAATTCTGACTTTAATCTCAGAATTTTGGATCTTAATGTAGATGGGCACCATGAAGGAAGAGATGTGGGAACACTCAGCTTCACTGACAAAGATGTGAGTTGTTTGAGAGGAACAGGAACACATTGGTAGAAAATGATGGAATAAGGCAACTTTTTACGTGTGTGAGGGGTCCCCTCATTAATGGAGGAGCAGAAGGTCATTAAAACAAGAGAGCTAGTCTCTAAAACAGACACGGCTATGGCTTGATGCTAACATGTTTGTTATCTGTCAGAATTCTGAGAAAAAAGTCAGAATTCTGAGAAAATAAGTCAGGATTCTAAGATTAAAGTCAGAATTCTGAGAAAAAAAGTCAGAATTCTGAGAAAAAGGTCGACTTTTTTCCTATGTTAAACTGAAATAAAATGTAAAAATCAGTTAACTTTTTTTTTTCAGTGGCCCTAATCCTCTTCCGTAATTCTAAAATGTGGTAATACCTGTGGTAATTCCAGATCTTGTTATGGCTATTTTTCCACACACAAAACGAAATCGGAAGCGAGTAAATACACTAACAGCTTGCCATAAAATATTAAACGAGCACATCAATAAGAAGCGAACTTTAGAAGCGTCAGTTTATTTCGTTAGCTGTTAGGCTAATACCAGCAATAGCATAACGTAAAAATACTAATAAAAACAACCAAAAAACGTTTCATAGGTGAATGATTTGACTGTAGCTTGGAGTGCTAGAACCGTTGCTTGCCGTTCGGAAAACATGTTTTACTGCCAAATAAAATAAGACAACTAGCGAAAAAGGACTTTAGCGTCTCGAAGAACTCCATTTCCCATGAAGGTGCGCGGCAAGCCCGCGTCACAGGAACACGTCGTCAGAGGGTTCGTGTGGCATCCGGTTCGGTAGAGGAGGACTGAACGCAGCTTTCGGTCACTAATAAACAGTTAAATGCACAGCAGCAGCTGCAGCAGCAGCAGCAGCACACGGCCTGGTTTGCTCTAAAAGGACGAAGCTTTGAATAAATGAAGGAGAAAGCGACAGCACTTCGGTAAGGTGAGAGTGGAGAAAAAAAGGGTGAGCGAGAGGGGAAGCTATCTGATTCAGGTCCATAAATCTTCAATCTTAGCCTGTATGAGGCGATACAAAGCGTAGCTGGGGCTTCAGCGTTATTGTGCGTTTTCTTTGGATGGCGCATTGTTTACTAGGTCCTTCCAGTCATGCTGTCCTGTGGCCAGAGGACACCTGGCACAGATGTTGTTGTTGTCGGAGTGAAACAGAACAGCCGTTGTCCCACTGCTCCCTCCCTCTGCTCTGTCAGGTCCCACATGACAGTAAAGTCCTAAAACCAGCCCCCTGGTTTACACATTTACAGGCCGCTCAGCTTCACGGCTGCACAACAATAAATCATGTGTTTTGCAGAAGCCTCACTAAAGAATGTTCCCATCTGCTGATGAATGTATGTAGCTGCACATGGTGAAACAGATCCTGGTTGTTGCAATGCTCTCACTAATCTTACTGTATGAGTAGGGCTGAGTATTGGCAGGGCTGTTGTGATACGATACTTGGGCCATGATACCATATTATCATGATCAGGGCTGAAACAATTAATCGTGATTAATCGATTATTGAAATAATAATTTTATTTAGTAATCGATTAATCTTTAAATGGAATATAGACACTTTAATGTATTCATTTAGCTGACCCACTCAAAGCAGCAATTAGACCAAAATTGTAAAAAAAAATTTTTAAAATTTAGCAATTAAGTTGAGCTTTTTTTTGTCTATTAATATGCTCTATCCAGAACTCCTCAAGTCGAAAAGTTTGTTTTGTAAAAAGTCTACTGCTATCCGATTATTGATTGAAAAAATAATCGACAGAATAATCGATTTGCTAAATAAGCATTATTTCCATAGCCTCGTGAGACCGTCCTGATCTCGTGAGCTTTCAAGATTTCACTCGCTAATCAGTCTGGAGACTCTCCGTTGAAGAAAATTTGGAGCTGTTCACCAAACGTACGTCCAATCAGCGTTGGCTTTGAGGCGCGTTGAGGTGTGACGCAACGAGAAGCGCGACAGTTCAGTCTAAAGAACATGGCGGCTTCAGCCGGTGAACCTAGCGTTAGCGTGGCTATCGAGCAAGTTTTATGGGAATTACAGAGTAGTTCTTCACTGAAAGAAGAGCAAAACACTGCTCTGGAGGCTTTTCTCAGAGGAAACGATGTTTTTGCTCTTCTCCCGACTGGTTTCGGCAAGAGGGCTTGTGGTTGTGTTTTCGTCGTCGCTCTGTTAGTACGTCATATGCTTCGTTGATCTGATTGGTTTATTTGGCCCGTCTATCACCAACATAGGCCAATCAGCTAACCAGTATTTTCGCCCCTTCCCAAAATTACTTCAACGGAAGGTTTCCAGATGGATATGCGGAGCAAATCCATCTGGCGGAGTCAGGTTATTATTTCCAACCCTAATCACAATATTGTAATATCACTATATATTGTGATGTTTTACGCAGCTATCAAAATTACATATGTAGATAAAAAAAGTGCTCTATATTTTCATCAGATGATATTGGTCGTTTAGTTATTTTGGTGTCCATGTTGTTTGGGGTTTTCGTCAGTCCATGGCTGTGTTCGAATTTATGGGCTGTGTCTTCGTGGTCTACCTGGACTGGATCCTTCAAAGTCCTTGAAAAGAAGGAGACTGGAAGAGTCTTGGCTGTGAATTCACACAGGTCCAGCCTTCGGTGGATATTACAGCCATTAGCCATTGCTAATCTCTGTCGCTTAGCAACCGTGATAGTTGACACACAAAGCAGTAAAAGAATAAAAACCGAACTTTTCAAAACTGTTTATTATTACTGTCCCATTTCCACAGTAACAGATAAAAACCTTTAGATAAACCAAACATTACCGCCACATATCTGCCTCATTAACCATTAAAACAACTATTTTCATTCATTTCAGGTGGAACTACTAACTACTAACTTAACTATTCATATTTGTATTATATTAAATTGAACAGCCAATATTCACCACTGTACGGAACCAAGTACCATTTCCTCTGATCATGGAGCAGCCGGCTTGCTTGGTCTTGCAATGAATCCTGGGAAAATCAAGGATAGAGAGGATACACCGGACCCGTCGTTCAAATTGGGCAAAATGAAGGACGCATTTTAAGGCCGCATAACTGGGAGTCTTGGAATCCGACCAGACTTTGGCTCGCTATGACATAATCGGCCTTCGAATCTGGCCTTCGGAAGACGCAGCCCATGAATTAGAACAGAGCCCATGTCTGTTACTGTGACTGCCTCAACTGCAGACATAGTGCTGTGCTGCACCTCAAGGGCTCCACAGCGCTATTTGCCAGGGTGGTGGTGACAGATCAATATCACATCGGGAGCCAAAAATCACAATATATCGGCAAAATTATTTTTTTTTCCCCACACAGCCCTACCACCGAGCCCCTTGAGCTCTTTCAAATTCCCTCACTTTTACACCCCCAGACTTCAGGGTGTTATTTTTGTAAGACAAACTTAACACAATTAATACATCACTGGACAAAAAGAGAAAATTCATATACCCTTAAATAAATGCCAGAAGAAGTCTGCTATTTAATAACATGAGTTAATCTGTAAGTAATGTCAGTGTGAACCCAGTTGTTCTGTGGAGGCTTCAGAGGTTTTTTTTTTAGAGAACAATGCGAAAAACAGGAGCTAGAAGACTAAAGCAAGACATCCCAACGAGGTTAAAGTTAAATATCTTGCCTTTTTTCATTGATTTAAATCCTTGATTTATTTGCTCAGCCCTTTTGTAGTGTATAAAGTGTTTATAAGGGTTATACAGTGCAATTATTTAGGCATATTAGCATCCACTCTTAATAAAACGCAATGCAAAAAGCTACTAAAGCTAAATCTGTTATAGAACCAAGTCGGTGTGCAAAACTTAGAAAAGGCGGTGAAATAATGTCTTGTGTTCTGTTGCAGGCATCAACAGCAGATAAGCTTCTTTTAGGATGAATAAACAACAGAGCAAAGAGACACTAAAAGAAAAGGTCAAGGGGATCTTTGGGCTGGGGACACCTCGCCAGCAAACGAAACAAAATGATTCCAAGCTGCCTGAATTCATTATTACAGCTGACATCATAAAGGTGAGTGAAATTGTATTGCTTTACATTTTTCTGCTCTGATGCTGATTCCAGCTGCCATTTATTCTTAATTTAAGCCTTTGTTGCTTCAAAAACAATCACTCTGCTTTAATAGAAAGTCCACCAACCAAACTTAATATTCTGAAGCTGTTTTGGAAAATGAGACCTGTTTTCTGTGTAATTAAGAAAGATTGCTTAATGGTTTCAGCAAAATTGATAGAAAAAAGTAGTATTTATTTATTTTTTACTAAGTACCTTTTCTTGACTACTAAACAAATTATTTGATTTCTCTAATGGCTCAAAGCTTTAAAAATGGATAGCATGAATCAGCTTATTTTTGATTATTAGAAGGTATTATCACACAAAAAATAGGTTTTTGGTCTGAGGCCCATTTCACAAAGCATGTTAACTAAAAACATGAGTTTTTTATACCTAAAATCAGTTAATGTAATCCCAACCAATTGAAGTGACTGACTAACCAGCTTATTTTTCAAAAACTCTGGTCCAAAGACTATAACTTCTGTTTTTTCTGCATTCAGCAGCAGAAAGTTACAAGTCAAAAGTATTTTTGGAGGTTACTGAAAAGTGGTCAGAGAGGACAGGGTTGTGAGGAAATACTGCTATTTCTTCACATTCAATGCCAAATGTCAGCACAAGGTCCATAGTATGATGAGAATGTGTCAGACTACCGGTACTCACATTTTGAGCAAAGACAAATGAGTCTAAGATGGCATTAAAGGCGGCATTTAAGATATAATCTTCAATGTCAGCATGGATGTTAACATCCTCCACTATGGTGACCCTGTCAGTATTTAACACTAAATCAGATAGGAACTCTGAAAAAAAATCAGAGTAAGGACCTGGTGGACAATACAAAGTTAAAAAAAGAAGAGGTTCTTTCTTAAGGTTTATTCATAACCTGCTTCTGTTAATCAAAGTGTGTGTAATTTGTTTTGACTCTGAAGAGGGAAAACACGCTGCCCAGGCAGAAGGGGGCTGAATACAGAGCAGTAAGGGCTGTATGATGAACTATTCTCTCTTTGCAAAGATATGAAAATAAAGTGCTGACTGAGTGAAATCCATCGATCTCAATTTATTTAATGAATTTCAGATCTTCATATTCATATTCATATTGTTAATGGTCATAATTTGTCATGGTGACTCATTGAATTGCGGCTCCACTGATGATGGCTTTTCATGGCAGGAGCGCAACTCCGAGTGAAACTACTCAGTTGATTAAAGTAACTCAGAGCATCTGGTGTGAAACTGAAAACTTTCTATCCTTAGACTGGATCCATTTAGAGTTTGAGACTGAGTTTGCTGAACCTGCTTTGTGAACCAGCCCTCTGAAGTAGAACTGGGCCTAACACCTTTTTGTTTTCTTCATGTTTTGCAGGAACTCCACCCTGATTGTGGCCTCAGCAACCGCATCCGGGTGATGAACCAGATATGTGAGCTGGCAAAAATAAAAAAATTTGAAGAGGTAATTGTCTCTGTTTTTTATAAATTTTATTAAGCTATTTTTATGGCAAAGTGAACATCTTCCATAATCATTAAACCTGTAACTCCATGCGAATCAGAATGCAGTGGAGGCTGTTTGGAAAGCTGTGGAGGACATGCTGTCACCCGAGCAGCCACCAGAGGCCAGGCATGCTGTCCTTCACCTACTCAAGTCCATCATCCAAGGACAGGTAGACCTTCATTTGATTTACCTTGTTCAGTGAGAGGGAAAGACATTAGGGGTATTTAAGGTCAAATCAATTGTTTAAGTGTTTTGATGTTTAATGGGGTTTTTTAGGATCTTGGAGCGCAATAGGATTTTTTTTGTTTTGTTTCCATGTCTCAAATCCAAACAAACTCCTAATACAAACAGAATTACAACCCCAGCACATAGTGCCTGAAGAATAATGGCATCACCCATCCAGGAAATAAGTTGTGATTTTTTTCATACTTGAATTTAAGTTAATTTGTTAAATTTGACATTATCTTCACTCAGTTACAGTTTATTTTTGTTGTGTATTTTGTCTTTCTGAAGGGAGAATGGCTTGGTCCTCTTAGGGCCTACTTTTTTAAGGTGGTCAGAGACTACCAACCTTGCAATGAGGACCTCTCAGAGAGATTGGAAGTGTTCAAGGCTTTAACGGAAAATGGAAAGGACATCACATACCTGGAGGAAGACATTGGTAAAAAGATACACAATTAAACTTCCTTTTAGGCTTCACTGTCATGTTTTTATGTTGTACAATAGAAAAGATGATGGCTTGGTAAAAGAGAATCTACAGGAGGAAGCCTGGAGTTGATGAAATAAAACAATAGCTTTATTACAGCTAATAAGCTTAACTAAACCATCTCAGTTAAAGTTTAAAATTCCTATTAGACAGGTTCCTTAAATTTGGTATATCATCATCAGAATTATGTGGATCAATGAGATCCACATAAAAGTGGATCCACATTTTAGTGTTCATTTCTAAAATAGAAATGTTACCTCTGCTAGTGAAGTATACTTGTTGTATTCCACTTTATTCTGGACTGGGTTGCAAGGTCAGCAGTCTCATCATAGACCCCTAGACTTCCCCAGACACCTCCACCACCTCCTCTTGTGGAAGCCCACGGTGTTCCAGGGCCAGCCGAGAGACTTACTCCCTCCAGCGTGTCTTTGGCTGTAGAAGGAGTAAATGTTTATCCAGGTTGCTCTTCTCTCAGCTATAATTCGCCTCAGGGTTTTGTAGGTCTGGTTTGGAGGTAACCAGCAGAACATGTCATCCGCAAATAGAAACAAAATCCTCTGGTACCCAGAAATAACCCCCCTGGCGGCTTCTAGAAATACTGTTCATGAAAGTTATGAATAGGATCAGTTGCAGCCGTGCCAGGGTCCAACATGCACTGAGAACTGATGCAACTTACTATCAGCAATGCGGACCAAACTCCTCTTGCACAGATACTTGATGGCCCATACTAAAGGGCCTATGACTGCATACTTCAGGAGTACCACCCAAGGGGGACCACAATAGACATGTTTGAATTCTTCCAGGTGTACACCTTGTCCATTGTTCCAAGGCTGTGATGAGAAGCCACATTGTTCATCTTGAAGCCAAAGTTTGACAATCAGCTGGACTCTACTCCCTAGCATCCTGGGATAGACCTTCCTTGGGAGAGTGGAAAATGAAATCCCTCCTGGTGAAGGGGTACTACAACCCCCGTCTGCCAGTTCAGGGGCACTGTCTCCAACCGCCAAGCAATGCTGAAGACCTCTTTGACTTTAGCCCGAGTGATGAGCAAGTCTGACTCTGAGCACCTAGTTTATGCTTCCACCAGGAAAGGCATGAAAGCCCAGTTTAGACAGTCGTCACAGTATTCTGTCCACTGTCTGACAGTGTCCTAAGCCCTGGTTGGTAGCTTCCTCTCTCCCACTGTATTCAGTCTAAGCAAAGCTCTTCATCCCATTTTTCGGAGGAGATGAATGATTTCCCTGAAACATTTTGAGGCCAAATGAGTTTTGCATCAGCAAGTGCTTGGCCTTAGTTTACGTTCTAGCTGCCTAAGTAGCCTCACAGCCCTACCAGGCTAGATATAACTCCGTTACCTTGACAGCATACGTTACTGCTGGGTCCAGGAATTGGTACCATGGCAGGCACCACATATCTAACGGGCAAATTGACAACGAAGGTGGAAAACAGATTCTGCCCCCTATCTCCATGGGAATCTAAGAAGTTAATGATTACATTCCTGACTGAGAGCTCCACCAGGCATTGATGGAAGTTCTTTACAATGGTTTACAGATTTGGCAGACTAAGCCAAACCTGTTATGTGTATCAACTCACCATCATTCGGTGATTGGTGGACAGAGCCCTTTACCAAAAGCACAGTGATGTAATCCTCTCATCCACCGGGATAAACCCCAATATGAGACGGCTAAGCTGGAGGGATGACGAGAGAACCCACTGCAGCTCTTTGCTTCTGCCTGTGGGCCACTCTAGAGTAGATCTAAGTCCAGCCTCTCTGAAGGAGCTGGGTTCCAGGGCCCAGGCTGAGTGGAGGCAAGCCTGACTACAATTCGGCTGGTACTGCTCCACCTTCGACTCAAGCTCATGCTCCTTTCTCCCATCAGGGTGACATTCCACATCTTTAGAGCCAGTTTGGGTGTCCGAGGATTAGGTCGTTGAGGCCTCCATCTCTGGCTGCTGCCCAATCCTCTTTGCTTTGGTCCCTTATGGTTGTGAGTGGTGGGTCCACTGGGGGATGGCGTTGTGGCACTGGTTTGGGCTTGGCTGGGTAGGGTATGTTGAGGAATAACCCAAGCCCCAGATGCATACCAATGAACAATAACTGCAGGTTTGGCTCCAGGGTGAGGTCCCAGCCACAATATTGTGCCAGTTCATAATTAAAATAGTTCATGTTCATAGTTCACTTTTTCAAAAATGATCTAAGTTCACAAACCTGTAAATGAACTAGTTAATTTTGTAGATTAAGCCACAATCCTACACAATAGAACCTCATATTTCACCCTTTCCAAACTGCACAGAACTTAAGAAACACACAGGTATTTTCAGGTTCTGCTGAAAAGATCTTTATCGAAAATGATTTCTTACGTTCCTCATTCAGAAGTAGATACAGTATTTCCCAAAATAGCTCAGATGATTTAATTTGATATGTCCCTTTAAATTTGAAGTGGACATGGCCGACGTATGGACTCTTCCTTTGTTACTTCATGAAACTCTGCCAAACGCTCTGCAAAACTGGCATCAGAAATAGCAGAAGATGAGTCTGAATTGCGCAGACTAGTACTAGCGGTAGACACGTTCTTCTTTCACGCTGTTTGCTGTAATAGGTGCCGTAAAACCTGACGATATCCAATGAAAAGTGCCGTTATCAACCGAACGTGAGCTGTGTTTGTCATTATTCTTAGTGTGAAAGTCGGTCTTGTTTACGTTTATTATTTCAAAACTTTTCACGGTTCACTAAAAATATGAACATATTCGGTGAATGCTGTTCATTGAACGCGTTCATGCACAACCCTGCCCTAGCGAATGTAAAAGACAGGTTGCCAACTTCTCTGTTTTTGTGTTATGATGGCTTTTGAACTCCCCTTTGTCTGACCAGTCACCCAGAGCCTGTTTGCCTAGAGAGACCCTACCAGGGGCATTTAAGCCATAACAAAATAGTACCTGAGATCATCTGAGCATTACAACCCCTTCACTGTGTTAACATGGTTTTTCGAGGAAGAGACTGAGACTGTATCAGATCATTTTTAATAGTTAATAGTTGATTGTATTACATCTTCTCATTATAGTGGTCCTAATAATTAACTGCATTACTGCTCCTTTTTCCAATCTCTTAACAATCATTGATCTCTTTTTCAGCCCGGTTTGTCCTCCTGTGGATGGACATTGGTCTTACCACAGATTTCCTCCATGTCCTTGTGAATCTAGTAAAGTACAACAGCTGCTACCTGGATCAGAACGTCTCCCTCATGGTCCAGTAAGTCTAAGGAACAACCCAATCAGTGTTGGTTGGGCTTCAGTTTGAATTTTTATTTTGTGAGATCTTTTTGTTTCAATCTGTTTATAAGTTTTCATTGCTATCCAGTTGGTGTTTTAAATTCAAACAACCATGTTAACCTTTTGTGCTCTCTGCAGGAAAATCTGTTTTCTGTGCAACCGAACAACATCATCCACAGATATAGAGGTTGGTTTCTGTCATTATTCCAGACTTATGATGATTTCCACCCACACACCTTCGTTTCTGTCTGGTTCATAGCTGGCCTTCCCAATTTGAAACATGAAGTTAGCTGAGTGATAAAACTGTGGTAAACTGTTTAAAATTTGCCTTTGTGGGGCTACTTTAATGTTACTTTTCATTTTCAAAACTTTGTTTTTTTATTATCATGTGCACTTGTTTAGTTCAACAATATTTACCCTACATCTGTGTTAGTGTTTCCATCTTAGGGTTTAAATGTGGCAACTGCATTTGAAATTTTATATATATTTTTTTTAATGGTAAAGGTTTTCATTATAACCCGATGTTTGGTTATAAAAGTATCTCACTTAGGTACACGCCTTCACAGCCAGTAATCCTGTGTGCTTGATCCAGCTTAATGCATTACTTAGTCGGAGCCTTAAAGCAAGCAGCATGAACTTTGTGAATCCAGGCCCCTTGGCCCCTCTTCTTTATCAGTGTTAATGTCCTTCTTAATATTAGTCCAAAAATAGAATTCTGCAGGATCTCAGTGTGTATGCCAGACCCTGTCTCTTTTTTACACAGTAATAGGGGGGGAAAAAAAACAATTTTAAAGCTTTTTGGTGTACGATCACATGACTCTGAGTCTGCTGGTCAAAATAGAAGGTCCTGGGTGGGCTGGGTTGTCCTGGATCTTTGGGGTCCAGACTGAGAGACTTTCCTCCTGGATCTTTGGGGTCCAGACTGAGAGACTTTCCATGTTGTAGTTTCTGCAGTTTGATCATTCAGCTGGGGCTGATAGTGTTCAGTCCTGATTTGAATCAACAAACAGCTTCCTGATGTATGCTTTTCAGTGTGGCCTAGAGTGCTGTGAAGGGCAGTGGCATCTTCTATGGACCCGTTCCCCCTGTAGATATACTAGTCTAGGTAATGCAGTATTTTTTTTTTTTTTTAAGTAAAGAAAGGAAATTGATTTTCCTTTGGCAATTTGTTTTTATAGAGAAGCTTAACTAAAAAAATTAAATGTATAAAAAAACTAATAAATCTATGACAATAAAATGGTAAAATTGAGAATGCTCACTGCTAGTTATACCAGTATAATGCAAGGTTGTGGGCATTCATTTACATTTTGGCAAGATATAGTTTTAAATTTCATCCATCAGCAACACAGGTTCTAATAACAGGTGCAGACTTGTTGAACTGCAGAATGGTATAAACTTCTCGGTGTAGCAACAATTATGCATTTATCTCCACCATATGCTAATCTCTAGCCGTCCCAGTCTGGACAAGTTGCCAGCCTATCACATACCCGAGGACGATTTAGAGAGACCCATTAAAGGGGTGATAGAATGATTCTATAGGGTATTTGGTGCTGGTCCTTAAGGTCTCTGAATAGGGTGTGTAAAATATGTTAGGCTGAAAATGGCATATTTGCTGTTGTATAAGCCCTGACACAAGCCTGGTTAAAAGCCCTAGAATGAGATGACAGGTTTTCTTCCTTTTATGGTATTCTCATGAATATTTGTGCACTGAGTGGTTGATTTACAATAAGTGAAGCTGCTTAGCAAAGGCTATTGATAGCAACAAGCACTCACTCACAGAAACATCAAATTGTTGATATGGTAGGGTGACTAGACGTCCTCTTTTTCCCGGACATGGCCTACTTTTCATACAAAAAAAAAAAAAGTCCGAATTTCAAAATCGTCCGTGATTTTGGTCAACTTCAGTGCAGCGCGTCGTTGAAACACACCAGGCATTTGAACTGAGCTGTCTGTTTTGATCTGTCCAAGATTTTGAAAGCTGTCTTAGGTAAATTGCGTAGAGCAAATGAACAGCTAAGCATCAAACTTTGCAGGGATCTTCTGATAGACTAAATCAATCCTTGCCTGTCGAGTCTTTGGATCCTTTGGAAGACTGAGAATTTTCTCCTTCCTCCGTGCAGCCTGAGGACTTCATTTACACCCGTGGTTCTGGCCCATTTTCAATAGAGAAACTGCTTTGTAATTCTTGTAGAAGTAAACCCAACTGTAGGCTAAACGGCTAAACTGGTGTCTTACATCAACCTCTATTCATGTTCTTGGGACAGTGAACCAGTGGCCTGGTCTGTATGAAAATTTCGAGGCGTGACAAAAGTACAGGCCAGAGCCAAATAAGGCAACATCCCAGAGTTTACATCAACTCGGAACTTCGTTTGGACTCGCCCATTTTATGCTGGAAGTTTAGAATTGTGAGATTTGCAGAGAAAGGAAGGGTCGATGGGGTTTGAACTTTTCTGTACATCCATTTCACCCACTGAACTATTGTTATTCATCTATGACAATGTAAACTCGTTTTGCATTCTATGAACCCTTTAATCCAGTGCTTCTTAGATGTTTTCTTTTGCATCCTCCTTTGAAGAATGAGAAAAAAAAAAAATCAGCTCCCCACCATCCAGAACAAAATGGGTCTAAAAGGAAATTTGTCTGTTGTAGCTGTTGGTTAAAGGTTACAAAGAATTCTGTGATCTATTTTTTTTAACCATGCCACAGGTTTATTCACTACAAACATTAACACTATAAAAGTTTTTTTATGAGCCTTAAGTCAAAACTAAGTCAAAACAACATTGATTACAGCTTCAGAGCAAACAGCAGATGGTGCCGTTTTCCCATTTAGCAGGAATTATTGTCTTTTTTTCTTTAGCTGCAATCCTGTTGGACCAGGGAATTGACACCTGAGGCTTTCTGGGACCTCTGCAATGGCCCTTAATAGTAGCTTAAAAAAATATAAAGATCCAACTGATGACAAATACCACATTTTTAATTTTTTTTTAAGAAGAGTATTTGATTTTATTTTCACAGCAGAATTACGTTAAAATAATTGTTTCTCTTTTCCTTTTCATTAACTTGGAAATTATGTTTTTGTTTTTTTTTATCTACCTATATCCCGTAGAAGTTAATACACAATTCATCTTTATGAATATTTTGATATTTTGTCTTGTTTTAAAATCTTAAAATGTAGCAGATATTTAACAAAAATAAACTGTTTTTTTAAAAGGGTATGTAAAATTTACAGCTCTAAGCGACTTTTACTGAACCAGGTTTGGAGCAAAATGGCTCTTCAGTTTTTAAAGGTTGCAGACCCCTCTACTAGACAAAAGAGATGGATTTTACAGGTTTGGCATCTTCAGTGCTAACCACTACTCCACAGTGCAGGCGAGAAGTATATCAGCTAATCTCTTAGAAGCAGCGTTTAGCAAAAAGTAAAACTAGGAGAGGAGGCACTTAATTTCAGAACTTTTTTTTTGTCTTTACTTCCTATGCTGTTAGTTGTTTCTTTGCCATTTCTAATTCTTGAAGTTTTTATCCTTTTTGGTACCTGAAGTATTTTAAGTGTGACAGAGTTTAGTCCACCATTAGATGTTTCATACTGTCCATCTTTTCTGTCAGTTATGTTGTGATTGGTCAAAATTGAAATAATAATTTTACATCCATATAACACGTAACACCTTTTGGGTTTAAAAGAAATGCAGTCTAAGCATAAAGCTTTTTTTATTTGGCATCTTTCTGTGCCGTTTTTCACGTTCATAATGCTGATCACAGCTTTGGTTGGGGTTTGTGTCCAGGTGGCGCTTCAGGTCTTGGATGCGGTGGTTTGTTACAACTGCCTGCCTTCAGAGTCCCTCACTGTCTTTATTATAACTCTTTGCCGTACGGTGAATGTGAAGGAGTTCTGTGAATCCTGCTGGAAGGTGAGAAGCGGATTAGTTGTTTATAAATGTGTACTTGTTTTCTTTTTCTTTTGTATTTTTTTAAGGATTTAAAACTTTTCCATCTGATTTTTTTTTCTTTTGTATTTCTTCTGGGTTGTGTTTCACCAGCTTATGAGAAAAGTTTTGGGGACTCATCTTGGCCACAGCGCCATTTACACCATGTGTCGGATCATGGAAGAGAGGTATTATTACTTGGCAGGTTTACAGTGTTTTTTTTTTGTTTTTGTTTTTTAACTAAAGCTTAACAATTAAAAAAGATCTTTATAGATATACTGTGGTTAATTGGCTCTTATTTTAGTTTACAAGTGATTTTAGAGTAACTTCTCCACCAGGATGTACATGGAAGATGCCCCGCTGCTGAGAGGAGCGGTGTTCTTTGTGGGAATGGCTCTGTGGGGCGCTCACAGACTCCCTGCTCTGAAAAACACACCGACACTTGTCCTGCCATCGTTCTACAAGGTACTAAATAGCTTAACATTATTAAAATCTTAGACTGAGCCACATTTACAGCTTTAGTCCTCTCGCTTTGTAGATCCAGCTTGAAATGGAATCAGACTCTAATTCTTCTAGACTTAGATTTGGACTCACCTTTATTTATCCAGTGGGATTACTCCTTCAGGGAAATTCTGGTTCCAGTAGCTTATATAGAGTGCAAAGAGTTCAAGTAAGATGCCATTAAAGATAAAAATACGACAGAAAATATAAAAAGAGTGTATATAGTACCAAAAAAGCATAAAAAAAGGATTGTCCTGTTTCCCTTAGATATAAAATATCTGCACAGTAGAGAGCTAAGGGAAGACTACATAGTAGTTGACTTGGGTTATGTCATCTTTTTTTTTTTAAAAGCATGTTTCCATATTGTATTTAGTTCTTTGAATTCAGGTCAAATGTCAGATAAAATCACCTAAAATACATTTTTTTTCATATTTTTATTAAAGGTATAAACAAAAAAAATATTACTACTATTTTGTATAATGAAAGCTGAGATTTAATTTTAGCCATACCACCCAGCCCAATAGGCTTATTTCAGGAAGTTGATATGCAGTGTGCTCCTATCACACCACAATAATTTGGACTAGCGTATTCCTGACGTACGAAAAATCTGGCAAAAAACGCTGGCATACTTCGGATAAGTTATGGATACTTTTTGTATAAGTTATGAGCCCGCTGAAACACGCTGGCACATGTATGTTGAGAAATTTTGTTTATGCTCAACACTTCCCGATGTGACGCATAAGTTGCAGGTAAATTATCGGAACGTTCACATACGTTAAGAGTAAGTTACTCATAAGTCTTGACGTCTAGCTTATTCAAAACCTGATTAACTTCTCCTCCAGACTGCATCCCCATCATAGGGTGAAGGTGAGTGTGATGGATCCTCCCTGCGTTCATGCTCACGGCTACAACCAACAAACTTCCTAGGAGACATGACACTGAATCAGCTGCGACTGCAAAACTTCTTTCTTTCTTTTTAATTATAATTTTTTTGGAGGGCGGTAAACAGCAGCTAGGTTAATACTGTGATCAAACACATCTTTTTATGCAGACCGGGTGAAGGGGAACAGTTTTAACTGATGCTTCATAACGGCTTGCTAACACTACTGTGCGTTATGCATAAGTTAGGCTGTAGTTGGACACCTGCTCTGGACTCGTTATGAATACATTATGTTTATGCCCAAAATTGAAAAAATACAAAGAACGTTCTTCGTATGCCAGTGTTTTAGGACATTATGAGACGTCAGGCTCGTCAAGGTGTGACAGTGAGTGAGTGAGTTAGATCACTTGTTGCTCATGTACTTGAGGTTTAAAAATTAGATAAACAGGTTCTGAAATAATTGTGATTGCCTGACTTCTGCTTTCAGGCCATGTCATGTGCCAATGAGGTGGTGTCGTATGAGATCGTCCTCTCTATCACCAGACTGATTAAGAAATACGGCAAAGAGCTGCAGGTGGTCACATGGGACATCCTGCTGGGCATCATTGAGCGACTGCTGCAGCAGATCCAGGTTCAGCCAAACATTAGGAACATGGGAGAAAGACAGAAATCAAAGAGTCTTGAGAAGCTAAGTTGCTTTTCTTTCTTGTGTTCTCAGACGATAGGCAGCCCAGAGCTGAAGACCATCGTGTATGAGCTGCTGACCACAGTAGAAGAGCTGTATGAGCAGAATGGTTACCATGGCTCCACGGAAAAGTTCTTCGTTCTGGTGGAGAAATGTGCCGACAAGAGACCTGTTTGTACCCTTCCCACTGTCCAGTCATTGTATTCGATCCTCTCCTGGAGTACAGCCTCTGTTCTTATTTGAATCTCGTGTGTAACAGGACGCGTCGGTGCTGACCCTTATCTCATACCGAGCACAGTCCATTCAGCCTGCGAAGGATGGCTGGATCCAGAGCCTCCACTGCCTCATGGAGAAATTCTTTAGGTACGTTGCTCTTAGGATCTGGTTCACGATTATCTTCCTCTCTTTGATTACTGGGATCCCAACTCTACTGTGTCCTCTGTGTCTGGAAGGAACGAGACTCGCAGCAGGATCAGGATCAAAGTGCTTCATATCCTCTCTTTCGTTCTCAGCACCAATCGGCAGCTCTATGAGGTTTGAACACTCATACGTCTGCTTTTTTGTAGTCAGTGATCAGATGAGAAAAAGATGCTTTTTGTCTGGACTGTGTTTTACATTTTAAAGCTAAATTAAAATTAGAAAACAGAATTTGTTTTAAAGGCTTGATTTTGGTTTTTAATTTTAGGTAAGGTTTGATCTTTTATTACCTGTTGCTAACACTAGCTACGTTTACATGGACACAAAAAATCGGATTGAAGGCCTGATCAGATCAAAAATGTTTCATGTAAACATGTCAGACTGAAGATTCTAATCCGATTCGGTCCGATCGGATCTAAATTTAATTCTGAAAGAGAGAGGTGGTTTTTGCCGATCGCCATTCCGATTGGCGTCCATGTAAACACCCATTCGGATCTTAAGAGTAAAATAATCTTCACTGCGCATGTGTGCGACGTCAGCGTGACGTTTTTCCGCCTGGTCAACAACAGGAAACCACCGGTCGCTCTCGCTCTTGTTGTGAACAACATGGCGGGGGGAGTCTAGGAACGCCGACTTATACACTCAAGTTCATTTAAAGCTGCAGGAAGCAGGAATTTATCCTCCTCCTCTTCCTCTTTTCTCTCTCCACAGCCCACTCGCTCTCCCACGCCGGTTCAATCGCTCATTCTCTACATTTTCTCTCGGACATTTCACTGCTAAGCGCTTTTTTCCTCCTCTCTCCGTTTTTCTTTCCGCGGAAATTTTGAAATTTTGCGCATGTAAACGTAGCTATTGATTAAAGATTCATAAAAAGCACCTGCTTGTTCTTCATTTCTTTTCTTTTTTCAGGATGAGCTGATTGAGAAGGTGGTGATTCCTCAGCTCAGTGGGATAGCTGAAGACAGGGATCCAGCTGTCAGAACACAGGCCACCCAGCTGCTGGTGGACCTTGCTGAGGGCTGTAACACACATCACTTTACCAGCCTCCTGGACATCATTGAGCGGGTGAATACAGACAGGACAGCAGATAAGTCATATGTCTTCATCCAGTTCAGTCAGGAATAAGTTTTTTTTTTTTTTTTTTTTTTACAGGTGGCAAACCGCCCTCTGGTTTGCTCCGGGTCCCTGGAGGTTTCTGAGAGAGACTCACCAGCTGACTCTCCTATGGAAGATGTCAGGACTGCTATACGGGGCCTGCTGGAGATCTTGCAGGTACTTGGCCAGCAATGTTTTCCTTGTTTATACAGAAATGTCTTTTTGGTATGAAACTGAATCCTTAGCAACTCTCATTCTGTTCTGCAACAGAGCAAACTCTACAGCTTGCCAGCTGGCCATGCGAGTCGGGTTTATGAGCTGCTAATCAGCCACCTGCAGCTTCACTATAAGAACAAATACTGCTCAGCTGTCGCTTCCAGCATCAGACTACAGGTAGGAATCAGTCCATTTTCTGTGCACCCATCATCTCTGCTCATTTTCATCCTACATTATTCCCAGCATGTTGATGTTTTACTCTTTAACCTCTTTGTTTAGGTGTTTGACTTCTTCCTGATGATGCGTGCTGACTCTCTGCACCGTGTGGGGGTGCCTAATAAGGATGGTGTGATGAGGTTCAGCCCTTACTGCTACTGTGATGCAGGGTAAAAACAGCAACATGCAAAAAAGATGCTAATCTTGCTTCATGTGGACTGATTGTTACTAAAATGTTTTTTCCCCCTTTTTTTCAGGGAACCGGAGAAGCGTATTTGTGATAAAAAGCCTGCAGGTTCCATATCGCCCCCTGCTGGCAGTCCTGCTCCAGGTGTTGCTCCTCCTGCTTCAACAACCTCCATTCGTTCAGCCTACCTTCCGTACGCGCCTGCCTTCACCATCCTCCTGCAGTGCCTCAAGATGGTATACACAGAAACACAACAAGTCAAAAAATTTGGTATTTTATTATTTTTGTTTAGGTTAACAGGGAATGAAAGATTTATGGTGGGAGAATATTGGAAATCGTAGGTTTTTCAGACACATGATCTAGATCAACCTTTCAGTGTGCCTTTTAATTCTTGAAAAGATTTGAATAAACTTTCATAAATTTTCATGTATGGCTAAGTTTAAAAAAACAAAACAGATTTATTTTAGAAACTTTCTTCCATTTTGTAAAAGACAACAAAGATACTAAATGACACAGATTGAAGACAACACACTCGCATGCTCCAGTTTTTACCTCCTCTCACCCAAAAAGGTTTGTAATGCGACTCGGTATGCTGAGTGAGCCTAACTACTACAGACTGATTTAGACTTTTTCCAGTGGAAACAAAACGGGCAGCAATGTTGTATTTCCCACTTTTCAGTTAGTCTGATTTAGCATCAGCCCTCAGAATGACTTCCCGATAATCTTGAATATCTTCTGGTAAACACATATTTAATGAATCAGCAGCTTCACCTTTTTGTGTCCTCTGTTAGAGCACATTTGTCAAAACTCCTGCAGCTGTTTTGTTCCTCTGCCTATACACACCTGAATCACATTATTAGGCCATAAACAGGAATCTGTAGAAATTGGCTCTATGAGGAGGTATTTCAGACTTGGGATGCATTCAAGAGTTGCAAAATACTGACCCCCTAAAATCCCAACTGTTTAGCTTTTAAGTATCTGTTCTTTAGCTCAACTGATGAGATATCAAGGTCATTGGAAGAACTTGTAATTCAGCCAGGATGTCACTAAAAGTTGTAGGACATCAGATGATGACTGGAGTTTGAGACAAAATCAGTGGCAGTAAAACACAGGGAAGAAGCTACATGTGGTGTTTATCTAAACCTTTAGTATTTAACAGGGTCAAAATGTATTTATGTAAAAAAAAAAAAGGCTTTATTTAGTTTTTTGGAGAGGAGTAGATATTAATCCCAGCATGGAACAAGCCTTATTGGTCAGGTTACAAACTTCACTTTCGGACCCGATGAGGCAATGGCTGTGTATCTGCCAAATAACTTTGCCCCCTAATTTGTGAGCTTTCTAATACTTACTTCTTTTTTGTTCCAAACATGTCGGAGCACATTAAACATTTATGAATTGCTTTTACCTATACTCTTATTTTGCAGGAGACTGACTGGAAGGTTCTGAAAGTCGTCCTTGAGAAGCTGCCGTGGATGCTGCAGTTCAAAGTCCTTTTATTAACTTCAGCGTGCAGCTTGGATCACCTCTGCTCAACGCTCTGCGCCATGGTAGCAAACCTTCTCTCAAATGTTCAAAATGGGATGAATAGTTAGTTAATAAGAGGAATAGAGCTTTGTTTTTTGTTTTTTCTCCAGCGAGGACTGGGCGGTTATTATTCACAAGCAGCAAATTTTTTTTTTCTTATTTTATATTTTTAAATCAAATTGTTTAGCCAAATCCAAGAAAGCCCTTAACAACCGAATGCTTCGGCTGCTGCCATAAATTCAGTGACCTCACACTGGGTAATCAGGTCTCAGCTGACAGGAGCTAAAGGGAAGGAGCTTTGGTTTTGAATTGATGAATTTTGGCAGTTATATGCAATCACACAGATGTGTAGCAATGCATTACTCTCAATAGGGTAGTGGTTTCTGAGTTATCTGAAAAGGCCTAAACTTTTTCCGTGTTCCACGAGGCATCATGCATGAACATAGGAGTCCACAATTGCAGTAAATATTTGGATTTTGTTCATCATCCATTGAAATATAGGTATTTTCGTCCCTATTGCTATCAGTTCCAGTGTGTATATCTGACTTGTTGTCTATCCTGAAGGGATATCACACTTATGTTTTTTGTATGGGCAAAGAAACCGAATGGACAAAGGAGCGTTTTTCCTTTAAGAATTTTCTTTTTCAATCATTAGTAGCTGAATATCCCTAGTTTTGACGGTAAGTACGTCAGGAGAGCATGTCAATTAAACGTTTCATCCCATCTTTAACAAGTCCTCATGTGGCAAGGCTAACTATTGATTACTTGTTAATCTTTTTTCCTTTTAATATTTCTGCCAAGGTGACGGATCGTCAGATTTCAGAGCGTTTGAAAAAGATGCCAGAGGGTTTCTCGCGCACAGACGTTCAGCTGGCAGTGGTCCCGGTTCTTACAGCAATAACCTCTTACCACAGCTACCTGGAGCAATCCAGACAGGTGGACGTGATTAGATTCACATTTTAGAAATCCTGGCAGATCAAATCACTTTTTTAGTCAGATGTTAGTAGATTTTCACGCTGAATCCTTCTGACTTCATTTTATTTTTCCCTTTCTGCAGAGAGAGTTAGTTCAGTGTCTTGAGACCGGCCTCATTTATCGATGTGCCAAACAGTGTGTGGTGGCCCTTACCATGTGCACGGTGGAGATGCCTGACATCATGATCAAGCTTCTCCCAGCTCTTATCGTCAAGCTCACCCACATCTCTGCTACTGTTGCTATGGCTTCTCCCATGCTGGAGTTTCTCTCCAGTGAGTTCTTAAAGCTAATGTTTTTTTTTAACTCATGCTTTATATTTTTCCCGTGGATTTCTGGAGATACGTTCCAGCTGTAACCCTGATAAAGTGTTAAATCTGTAGTGTCCTCTGTTGTTTCACAGCTTTGGTGCGATTACCCCATCTGTACGCCAACTTTGTAGCTGAGCAGTATGTAAGCGTATTCGCCATCTCGCTGCCCTACACCAACCCCTCAAAGTCAGTACTATAACACTTTAGTATGCATTATGTCTGCTCCATGAGCTCCCTCTGACATGTCAGTTTTTTTTCTCCATTAGGTTCAACCAGTACATTGTATCCTTGGCCCACCATGTGATTGCCATGTGGTTCATACGCTGCAGACTGCCCTTCCGCAAGGACTTTGTTCAATACATCACCAAGGTGAGGCAACACTGTTAGTGTGATTGCTTGTACTTTTTGAAATTCCCAAAACTTCAAGGAAATGTAGAACAGAAACTACAAGAATGTCTAAAAATGTACAGGCAAAGATAGAGGTGTATGCAGACTTGAAGGACTTTTTTTCTGTCTCCTTGGCAAGCTGGGACCTTCTTACACTGTAGTGTTTATTTGATAAAGTTGTTACTTTGCTCATCAGGAGATCTCTTCACATGCTAAACACAATCAACACTTGTTGGAAGCGGTTGCAGCTTTCTCTGTGCTGCCGTCGACGTTTTGGCTGACTAGTTTTGACTGACTAGTTTTGACTGCTTTTTCATAATTTTTTTTTAAATAAGTAAATTCTTTGGTAATATTACCATATCGTATCCATTTATTGATAATTGTCTTTTTATTTTTTTGTTAATATTTGCTTTAAATGCGGTGGTTTTTTTTCTCTTTTCTTGAAAAAGGGAGTTGTTTGACCCTTTAGCTAAAAGCTGCAAATGTCTGGGAGATCATTTTATGCCACGTTTACATCGGACACACTTTGGGCAGCAAATAAAAAGGCCTGCTGCTGCATTTTTGATGCTTGTACACATTAAGGTCAGACGTGCATCAAGAACATCTTTGACGCACGTCCAGTAAAGTGTGTCCAGATGTATCTGATGCATTTGCTGCTCCTGTGTTCATTGGCAGAGAGTGGCTCTGTTATATTTGCTGTGATAAGCTGGTAAAAAGTAGTTTTGATATATTTTGAAGTGAGAAGGTCCATCTCAAGCCATTGTCTGTGCATTCAGTTCAACAAGATTACGATCCTGCATTGAAATATTATTCCGCTATTGCAGCCACTTAGATCCCCACATACAGGCAGTTCGCTGTCATTGGGAATTCCCAGCAGCAGTTTTCCGTTACTGTTTGTCGCAGCTGGAAGTAGATGTTAGTGTTTTTCAGGTATAGTAAAAAATGCAGGTACCAGAATAACAGCGAATATATTTTGCTGGCAGGTTTCCACATTTTAAGTTAATTTAGGCGTTAAACTGTTTCAGTGGAGTGGTCATAGTCTCTGCTTCAGCAGTGCTGTCTGTCTCCCCTGCCAGCTCCCAAATCAGCTTCTCTGATTGGTTGATGTTGCGTGTCCAGCAGCAAAAATGTTTTTCCATCTCTGTCAGCTGCCGCTTGTGAAGCTCGTCACGCGCCTCAGAAGCTCACGAGGCACTGATTTAGCTGCTCCTGCTGCAGGAGACGTGCAGCAGGACCTTTTGAAGCACCTTGATACGTCAACCATAGACTTTGTATATAAACCAGCTGCTACTGTTGCTTCAATGGCGTGCGTTGTGAACGTGGCATTAGAGCAGCTAAAGCTTGTTTCTAGTTGATCCAATTTGCCATAATAAAGATTTACTGTAAACAATACGCTCCAGTAAAGTATAATTTTTAGGGTTGTGAACACTTATGTTCCAAGGGTTATCGCACCTTTTATTAGATTTTTTTTATTTATCTTCTTTAATTATTTTTTATGTGCTGCTTTGCCATGATGATCTGCTTTTTTTTTTTTTTACATTGCAGAATCTTTGCATTTTTACCCTTTATTTTTTCTTAATCTTCACATCTAGACTCACATGTGGTCTAAATAACATGGTCATTTCAAAGTTACACCTTAACATCTCTCTGGGTGCCTCTCTGCAGGGTTTGCGCTCCAACGCCCTTCTGCCTTTTGACGACGGACACGAGCAAAGCCCCTTCCGTGCACGAAGCACAAGCCTGAATGAAAGGCCCAAAAGGTAAAGAACGCTTTTTTATGCAGCCAAAGTAGCAGCTGGCAGTGCAGTGCGCAGCCCTTGCAGCCGAGGTCGTGTAAGAGGGATGGGGGTAAATACGCTGATGTGTTTAATTGCTCTGGTTCCTCTCAGGTTGCCATGGTGATCAATATTTCTTCTACATTTTCTGTTCTCGTTTTTTTTTTTTAGTTGTCACAGTTTGTCTTGCAAACGTCTCATAGTGGGTGCCATTTTAACTTTATCCTGCATAATGTCATAGCATTTCATCTAATGTTTTTTTTATTTTTTATTAGCTGCTTGCATCATAAATCAGCTGCTTTTATATTTAGTCCCTCACTCTTTCCCTTAACTACCAGGTTGAGCTAAAGAAACAAAAAGTTGGAGTTGAAGTTCTTCCTTTCTGTCCAACCTAACATTTCCCCGTTTTTTTTAATTTATTTATAAAAACACACTTACTAAAACTGAAATAATTTCTTCTAAATACCATTAAGATTTATCTCCCAACCTCCAAAACTCTCAAACAATGTGTTGCTTTCTTTATTATTACAACACGGCATTAAAAATCAGCCAGTATCCAGTGTTACATGAACGGTGCCTTGGGAGATGTATTCATAATCTTTAAAGATTTTTACAGTTTGGCAAACAACAACCACACTTTTTCATGTCTTTTTTTGAGAATTTATGTGGTAGACCAACACAAAGTGTTGCTCAATTGATCGTCAGCATTTCATCACAGATGAATATCTGAAACCTGCTGTTCATTACTAGTCAGCCCGTTTTATCCAAATACCACTAAATAGATTTCAGTGCAGTCATTTGTCCATCTGTTAATGTGAAAATGGCCTAGTCAAAGTTCCCCCAAATCCATTTGTGAACCTGTGACAACCCTTCATATTTGCTCACAGAGGCTGTCAGGATATCCAAAGCTAGAACAGGTCGACTTGGAAAGACCTGCATATGTAGTTATATTAAAGCCTCAGGAGGGATGAAAACAAAAATGCATGGCAGACTTTTCAGATTAGTTTAAGAAATAGGATCCAGAAAAGCCTCAATTCTTTTCTGTCCACTACACATTTATACATCCTTTGTATCGGTCTATAACAGTGGTGTCCAAACCTTTATACACCAACTCCAAACTGACATTGAAAGGAACTGCAGACTACAATGTTTTGGTTGTTTTCTAATTTAAGGCATTATTATTTTTTAAATGCTGCTGCCCCCGCGACCCGACCCCGGATAAGCAGAGGAAGATGGATGGATGGATGGATATTTTTTAAATGTTTTATTTTCGCATGTAAAGAAAAATTAAACCTAAGAAAACATAAAAAAACACAGAATAGATTTGTATTTTTTACAGCACTGGTGGGTTGTTTTTTTTTTTTGACAGTTGGATGACAGGAAAAGGGGGTATGAGACATGCGGGAAAGGACCTCAGGTCGGATTCAAACCTGGGTCAGCCGCGTAAAGGGCTAAGGCCTCCGTAGATGGATCAAGCGCTAACCACTGCACCACCAAACACAGAATAGTTTGATAGAATTAAGAAATCAATATTCAATCAATGTAGTTACAAAACATGAAATCTTACTGGTTTGGTGAAAGCAATAAGATCTCCCAATTTTTTATTATTTTCTTGTATTGATCTCTGGATTTGGTAACGTCTTTAAAAGTTCTTATTCTATATAGCCAGTGTTTTAAATTGATGTCCAACTGGTTGGTTCCCCAATGGATGTCTGATGGTAATATTTACTAATCAATTAAAACGAAAGCAATGCATGGGTGACAACAGATGATAGCATTCTGTGTTGCACCCTACGTACTTTGACTTGTCTATCTTTTTTTTTTTTTAAGGCAGAATAAAATGCACAATCAAACACTTCCTTTTTATTTGCTGGCCTCAGTTTTAGCTCCTCAGCCTTAGTTTGGAGACCCGTAATCTATGATATAAAACCTTAATGTAAAACAGTTCAATTTGTGGTTGCAACACTTCTGTGGTTTATTTTCTAATACTATATGAAAAGAATACCCCCTCCAGTAGCTCACATATAATATCATCATCCCTGAGCTGTTAATGTCCACTAAATGATAAGCACTCAGCATGATTTCTTTACATTCATTCATGTGCTGGTTTACTTTTTAAATGAATTTATTTAAATCCAAAGTAGTTCTCTTTTGTTTCTTTTAATATTCTACAAGCCGTTCTTTAGTTCATAATTGTAGTCTGACAGTTTCTCTTTAATTTTCGATGTTTTACTTTTAATTTGCTTGTGCTTTTGTCCTAGCATGGGTCAGAAGTGCCACAATCCAGTAAATCCATATTTATTCCAACATTGTACATGTCATCATTAAAAGAAGGTTATAACTATTCAAAACAATCCATTATTCATTATATTCTTTTCAATTTATGAAATAAAAAATAGGCAGAACTGAATTAATTTGTGTAATCATGTAATTTTGAATGATTTATTTTGATATTTCTGTGCTTTAGTTCATCATTAAATAATTTTAACTGTGGCCTTTTTTAGTCAAAAATAGCCTAACGTCTGATTGGTTAACATCCTTCCTAAAGACCAATCACCTTTTTTTGTATTTAGCAGGCTTTTTCCATCCCCTTGATTTTTTTTTTTTTAGTGAATTTAAAAATCGACTTTGAAATGAATACATAAAAATTACATATAACCTTTACATTAATGATTTTTTTAATGCTTTTATTATGATTCTATTACATTATAAAGTATGAGAATCTTTGTGATATTTTTTATGTTTCAATATTTTTACTCAAATTAGAGATTTCTTAACAGGCTTACTATGAATTGTTGCACTTCTGGTCCTCCATATTTCCATCCCTACCTCTATCTTTCTCTCATATTAGCTGTTTACTTCACTTTGAACCTGCTGAAATGTGTATTTTGTTGCTCTCCTGAATACTTCCTCTGTATTTTTAATTTTTGAGTAGTGGAGGCTGGTTGACCCTCTGCTTGTAGCTGGTGTCTTTATTTTGGTTTTATCCTTTCTTAAACCCTCTTTTCTTTCTCATTTCTCCTGTTATGTGAATCATGTTGTTCACTGCTGTTAATTTTCACCTTGTTTTGTTTGTTTTGTTTTCTTTATTTGACCCCCCCTCCTCTGCTGCCTCCTGCGATTGGGTGCTGCCTTGTGGTTGTGGTTTTGGGGATGGTTGTGTCATCCTGGATCCCCTCCACATTGCTCCTGGCCCCCCCTCCTGTCACTCCCACCCTGTGATGTCTGTTCCCTGTGCCCACCCCCCTCCCTCTACTGCCTGGCCTTTGCCCCTCGCCACCTGCTCATGTTGCTGTGGTGCTCTGGTGATCATCTCTGCTGTCTCCTGGTGTACTATGAAAACCACTCCTCTACCATTGCTCCCAAACCAACGCTGCCCTCATCACGACCCACCCCCTTTACTCCCCCACATAATGCCCGCCCCATTCCCGCCACTCTTTGCCACGGACGCTCCCCGCCGCCCAGTCTGCGGGCTGGAAAAGTGGCAAAGCCTTCAGCATCTGTAGCCAATAGCAGCAGCTCTCCAGTTAAAGAGCTGAGGGACCTTTCCGCCATGGAGGCTTTCCGCTCCCGCAGCATCAGCGTCTCTGAACACGCGGTTCGCAGGTTAGAAGAGAACGTCCTTGGTAACAAAGCAGAAATAAAACCAAAAAACATGGGTAACAGCCTAACACTTGTTGCTTCCTCCATGGGATGGTTGATGGGGGTCAGACGGGTCCGTCGAGCAGTTGTAGGGGAGGGTTGTTGTAATAGGGACTCCTAAAACAGGTGGTGCATGCTGGAGGAAGGTGTGTGATGGCCTTTTTGGTTTAATTTTGGCTGTCTTTTTGTGTGTGCTGTTTTGGGTTTTGTCAATGTCATTTGCTTTTGCATGCAGTGTTTGTTAAAGCCAGTTGGAAAACATCTTGATCCACTTGAATGTTTTTTTTTTATTTTTATTTACTTTGCTCTAACACAAATTTTGCTTTATTGTTTTATAATTTTTCTGGTACTTTCTGATTCAAATGTTACATGTTTGCTTGGCGAAATGCTGACTGGTTTTGATTGGCCTCAGCAAATGAATGCAGAGAGAGACTGGTGCGTGTTCAGAGTGCTGCTACATTTATTTTCTCTTCGACAGCAACTGTGACCCCAGCTTTGGCTTTTTTTCAATTTCTGCTTTCTCCTCCATTGTTGGCCACAACAGCAACACAACAGCTATGTCTGCCTGCTTGACATATTTTTGTTTTTGTTTGGCTTCAATGGAACATCCACTATGCTGCTATGACCATGGCAATCTATTAGTCTGGGAAGATGGGAGTTAGCTTGGGCTGAGCTGAGGTTTTAATCAGAAAGCTCTCCATCACCACAAACACACACACGTCTTCAGACATTTTGTCTACCTTGCTTGTTTGCCTCATTTTTACTCGTGTGGCTGAAAAAAGGAGATCAAACACTGCAGTTCAATGTGGTTACAGTGCAGCTAGGAGAAAAGTCCCTGTACAACCACAAACATCGATGTGATGTGGATTTTATGTGATAGACAAACATCAACAACTTTGTAGTGGAAGAAAAACAGCTAAATTATTTCACTTTTTCCCCCCATCCATCTTAACAAGTAAAAATTAGCTGAAAAAATGTATGTTAGCAACAGCAGAATTAATCTCTGCCCTAGTTTCAGGTTTTAGATTAGGTTCTCTAAAACCACTTTGTATTACAGAATTTAATTTAGTGGTGTCATGCCTGATTTTCCTTTTTTCTTTGTTTAAATGTTTTTTTTTTTTGTTTGTTTGTTTTTTTGTTTTTTACAATGAAGCAACAATCAATGTTGGTCCATCATATAATATCCCATCAATTATGTTGCCGTTTGTGGTTGTGGCAAAATGTGACAAAAGCTAGTGGGAATAAAAACTTTTTATGTCGTAATATGCCTCAGTTTCTCAACAGATGGCAGCAAAACAACAATGTGTCCAGTTGCTCTTGGTTACACTAATAAGGATTTATTAATAGAAGACTGCAGTGTAGATCTTCTTCACCAGCATCATTTGGTGAATGGCTGCATATTTATTTTTTTTTTCCTTTCAAATTTTTAAAGGTTTGTTTAATGTTGTCAGATTCAAACCTTTGTATCCAAGAGGACATTAACTCCAATATGACCATGTTTGATTTTTATCAGTTCGACCTGAGTTTAATTAAAAGGATATAAATTTGTTCATGGTCATATTTCAATGGAGTTTGTGTTCACTGGAGATTTAAATAAAGTATTTATGTACAAATGAAGACAGGTAAGTGTGTGTGTGTGAGGGGGTCTCATTAGAAGTGATTATTAGGGCTTGGTCTGATTGAGGAACTTTATTTAACATCTAAAAGGAGAAAACACTCGGAGAACAAATGAACTCTTTATGTGAAATATAAGGCTTTTTAATTAGTTAATTTATTTAATCCAAGCATGTTTGTCAAACAAACAAAAAAAAAGATAAACAGAAAGCAAATGAGCTCATATGACACTATGATTTGATCAATTTATTCAGTTCATTTTCTGTTCCTCCCTTCACTTTTTTTCTCTCTCCATCTTAATGATTTGGACTGCAACATTCTGCAGCCTTAAATAATCCATCCTGTCAAGAACAGACATCTCAGGGGGCCGTGAGCGCGGCTGTGAAGGGCTCATTATGAGCGTCTAATAAAGCTTTCAGCTCCCATCCTGTTTTTGTCTAGATCTGACTGAGAGAGCAGAATCTTCTATGTATGTAAGTGCTGCTCTCTCTGCAGATGGCGAGTTACCGGTCTTCACTCCATTGTTCTTTAACCAGAAATATATGTCTTCAATTAGCCACTTTCATTAGAAAAGACCTCATAGGAAAAATTTCTTTCCATTCAATAAGAAGAAATAATTGCACCATCAAACCTCACTCAGACCATGTCCCAGCCTTTGTCTATGTTTTGTGTGCTTGAAAAAGTCTCTGTCAGTATTATTTTGCTTGGATGCATGCATGTAAATGCTTGGTTTGCACATGATTTAGATAGAACCTAAATCCCTGGTTTGTTTTCTCTGCATATTTTTATTTCCAATCCTGTTGTCTCTGCCCATGCATGCCTTTGGACTGCATGCCTTTCTCTTTGTCCTCTTTGCTCCAATATCTCGTTCTTTGCCCCTCATAGGATGCACACTTCAACCACAACCTGCAGCCTGGGCTCTGCTGATGAAAATGCAGTGACTCAGGCCGACGAGGGGCTTAAGACAGTCCACCTGGAGCTCACGGAGACTTGTCTTGACATGATGGCACGATATGTGTTTTCAAACTTCTCTGCTCTGCCTAAGAGGTCAGTAAGGGTCACTCTGTTTCTATTAGAGACGCAGAACTCACGTTTAAGCTGATTTGACAAAGGATTACAAATTTTAGTTGGTTTTTATTTTTGCAAGATGACAAAACAGCATTAAAAACCCTTTTTCTCTGGTGATATATTAGAATTTTAATATCAAGTCAGTATTAACGTCACTATATGTGAGAGAGAAGTTGCTTTTATATTAGTTTTTTCTTTAATAAAAAAAAAGAAGCTTCATTCTTGATTTAGTACTCTCACTTAAATATTTTCTTATTTTCTGTTCTTACTTAATTTATAGCCTTTCTTTCTAATAGTATCTCAAAAAGATAAAACAAAAATTACTGAAAAGTAGATTCCTGAATGAAGAGTCAACATTTTTAATTTGAAATTATGTCAGAGCTCAAACGTTTTAACAAACTGTTTTTGAATACTTTATTCAGATATAAATGGTCTTTTTAAAGTCTAATCTGCCTAGTCAAAACAAAATGTCATTGTGGTTTTCTAACGGTAACAAAGATTTCCGATTTATGCTTCCCTCAGTAAAAACTTCCTCTCAGTAAAAAGTTTTACTCAGTACTGTATCCTAGTATCTTATCTAGCTCTGTGGTGAGAAAACAACCAGATTTCTATATTGTTTGACCGACTGCTCGCCTGTCCTGGTTGATCAGGTTGGAAATCGTCAGTTTGGTCATCAGCTGATTTTTATCGCAATTAACTATTTATTAGATCTCAAGCTGTAACAATGTGTTAAGGAAATATTGATCACCTGGCTTCTTGTTGTCTTTTTAGGTCTCCTATTGCAGAATTTCTATTAGCCGGAGGTCGCAGCATGACCTGGTTGGTGGGCAACAAGCTTATCACCATCACAACCAGTGGGGGGGTCAGAACACAAGCCTTGCTGGGCCTGGATATGTCTGAGCGTCTGGGAGGAGGAGGAGGAGGAGGAGGAGAAATGACGAGGTAAAATTTTTAGAGCCACAAACTAGACATTTATGAAGTTTTTTTCTTTCCTTTTCTGACTCATCATTTTTAGTAAATAGAGACATGTTTAACATTTTAAAGAAATCATACCTGACACAATCCACTTTTATTTATTACACGCCTTAATGCTTTTATTTTTATTACAATTCAAAACCAAAAGGTTTAAGCAAATTGCTGTTTGGTTTGAGTGGTTTTCTATGTGTGCAAGGAGTCCTGAAATCTGCTGGGTTTGCAGGTCAGATCCGTCACTTCACACCCGAATGACCAAAGAGGCTCCGGCCAAACTGGAGTCGCAGTCCAGTCAGCAACAGAATAGGACCGCTCGGACCCGGGTCCGCTCTAGATCAGGTAAGAATTTACGCAGTTCTACTTATTATCTGCAGCCCCTGAAATCAGGTAGCTTTCTCTCTCACTGCTGGATATCTAATTTATTTCTGTCTCTTATTGATGTTTGAATAAAATCAATAACAGTAACACCAGTAACCTATTCCTTACTTTATAGAAATGCGTTTTCAGTGAGGTCTTTCTCTTCTTACAGTTTGTGTTCTGTTGTAGCTATTTTATTACTCTTCTCTAAATCATTTGTCTTGTTTTGAGTGTTTTTCTTCACCTTTAGGTGTGAACATCTCAGGATGTTTTTGTCACAGACGCAGTGTGAAGGAGGTCTCTCTGTGTTTTAAAAATAATCCATTCCTGTTTCCAGGTGGTCATGCACTGCGGGCTGGTCCTATTCAGAGTCTCAGTCCTCTAGTTTCTCCCTCAGAAGGAGAGTTGGCTCCTTCTTCTTCTCCCTCCTCTGGCCCCACCTTAGATGGTGTTGGTCCTCCCTCCTCCACCTCTGCCCCTCTGTCTGCCCCCCCTCCCCTCAAAGACAACCCTAGCCTAGCTGAATTTGTTCCAATGCTTACTCAGGGTTGGGCAGAAATCTTCATTCGGAGACCTTCAGGTATGACCTCGCTGGACTAGGTCCATCTTAGCATTCTGTCATCTGATATAGCGTGATACAACATTTGCAGGTGTGTTTTGTGGCTCTCTTTCACCTCAGGTAACACCAGCTGGCTGATGTGTCTGGAGAACCCACCCAGTCCTTTCTCCTCTGAGCTGGGTAACATGCCTCTGCAGGAGCTCTCCACTGTGCTGATGGCAATGGAGGGAGTAAAGGAGCCTCCTACTCAGACAGCTAGTGCTCCAGCCAGCACAGCCGCTCCAGCGCCAACATCTGTGTCTGAACCTCTAACTCAAACACACAGTAGTGGTGGCGGAAAGACAAACTTGTTTCAGCGCTCCAACACAGGTGTGTAACAGTATAAAAAAGTAAAGATTTACAGAAATGGAGCAGATTTTAGTGCCCGATTACATTTGGTGCTGATAAAACGTTCTAATAGCCGTGAACTTTCCCTCCTTTTTTTTTTTAGTATTGCAGCCTCCTACCTATTATCAGACCAGCCAACATGCTGCATATGTTGAAAAATGGTTTAATAGTAAAACTGACATGCATTAGATGCAGACTTTTTTTAACCATCTTTAGTTGACTCTTTTTTCCATCAGCTTTGCATGTTTGCAGACTCAAATGTTTTTCCTCTTCTCCTTATGCAAATATAACTCAAACCTATTATCATAAACTACTGGATTACAATCTATTTGGTATGCCGGCCAAAATCCTCAAAATAAACAATTTGATTACAAAATTATGTTTTTTTTTATTTTTTTATTTACAGTTAAAAACATGCACATTTTTAAGATAAGAAAATTATTAAAAATAAAACAAGGGACCTGTGAGTCATTTGTACTGCCTATGCTGGCCAAATGTTTCCACTTCTGGAACGCCAATTCCCAACTTCAAGGAGAAACCGCTTAGTTGTAGCTCAGGATTCATGCTGAGCCTAATTTTTTTTAGCTTTATCCATTTCCCCACCAACTTATCTCAAGGGCCAACCTCCCTGTTGAAGAAAAAGCATCCCCACAGCATGATGCTGTCACCACCGTGTTTCACAGTAGCAAAGATGTTTTTAGTGAGCAATGACGTTTTAGTTTCCCTCCTCTCAAAGCGTTTAGTTGGCCAAAAAGCACTTTGTTTTTGTCTCCTCTGACCTCCTCTTGGTGAGCTGAAGACTGGACCTCCAAAGAAATTTAGGTTTGCAGACCAAATGTGAAAAAAATGAAATGGCTACAAGCCCTCCCTGCCAGGCACTATAGATATAAAGCAACAGCGAGCCCTTTCTGTCTGCCTGTTTTCTGTATTTGAGTTTCCATTTCTTTCCAGTTAGTTGTCTTTAAATATCTCTTTATTCACTTTTTTTAAATACTTTTTTCCCTATTGTTTGATTTTTTTTTTTGACTCGATTTTTAAAATTTTTCTTCACCCTGGTGGAAATGCTGGTTTGTGATTGGCTGTGGTGTGTTTTGTGGCTCCATGTGCCCTTGATTTCCCCTCCCCCCTCTGCATCCTGACTATAGTGGGCGGCTCGCTCTGGTCTCTGGGTATGGCCAGTGCCCCCCCAGCCCCTCCAGCCCCTGGCAGGTTGCACAGGAGCATTTCCTGGGCAGGTACCGTCATCATGTGTGAGCCCCCCCCCCACCCCCATACCTCTCCCCTCCCTTCCAGAAAAGTCCTGGGGTAGTATATTTCTTCTCACTTGTACAAAACAGTGGTCTTTCACTAACAATGCAGGGATAGTTTAGAGTCTATCTGGATATCTAGTAATTATACATCTAAAACAAACCTATTAAAGAGCTACATGAATCCTAAATAGACAACAAATGTAAATATTAAATTAATGTACTTGGTCATATATATATTTATATAAAAAACAAGTTAACTTTTACACACAGTGAAGGAATAGATTATTAATGTCCTATTGATTTATTTAGGTTTTCTAACAAATAAAGCACTTTTTCTGTTTTAGTCCGTAGGATTAAGAACCTTTATGGCTGTTTCACTGCCATGCTCAAGCACAACAAAACTGGAGCAGAGTTCTACCCTCGGTGCAAACCTGTTACATAAGTAATCAATAACTAAATATAGCATGCACTTATCGGAAAAAAAGACTTTGGTGTGTGAAACACACAGAAATTGCAGACCAGAGATGAATGGCATTTCCCTTGAATTTGGTACAAAAACCTTTATAGTCAAGCTCAGTAATAAGACCTTTTATGCAGCTGATTATTGGGTTTTAACCCACCCCTCCAAAATAAATTTAAATTGTGGATGCTGTATTACTCCATTTTACTCCTCTTTAGCCTCTCCATTGGTGTCTATGTCATACTGAAAGCCTCATTATAGGTTTAACAGGGAACTTGTTTCCTTTAGAAATTGTTCAAAATTAAGGGGGAATTAAACTAGATTTCCAAGAGAACAAGATTTATTGCCAATAACCTTTGTGTCTCTAATGCTACCTTCACACCACACATGACTGAAACAACAGAAGCAGCCGTTTTACATGCAAAGTCAATGGTTGATGCACATCAAGGCGAAGCAAAAGGTCCTGCAGCGCATCTCAAACAGTGCATCTGAGCAGCTGAAGCAGCACCTCATGAGCTTCTGGTTATCTGAGCCCCATGATGCTCTTCACAAACAATAGCTGCTGGCGTTGGAAAAATTAATCTTTTGAATCAGAGAAGCTGATCTTTGAGCTGGCAGGGAGAGAGACACATTGCTGATGCTGAGCGCTATGATCACTCCACTGGAACAGTTTAATGCCTAAATTAACTTAAAATGTGGAAAATATGATTGCTGGCAAAATATGTTCTCTTTTATTACTCTGGTGCCTGTAGTTTGTACCACATACCTGAAAAATGCTAACATCTACAGCCACGATGAACAGTAACGCACCACCGGTATCTGGGGATCTAAGCGGCTCTGACAGCAAAATAATATCTTAAAGTCGGATCGCAGTCTTAACTGACTGAACACATGTTTTGAGGTGGACTTTCTTACTTAAAAATATATAAAATGAACGTTTACCCTCTTAGCAAATATAGCAAAAGCGGTCTCTGCCATTGAACACAGGAGCAGCAGAAGCATCAAATGCATATGTACACACTTTACTGGCTGCGCTTCATGAGTGTCAAGGATGCTGTATACTTGCGTCTGACCTTGATGTACAAGCAGCAGGCACACTTTTTTTGCTGCCCAAAGCCTGTCCGGTGTGAACGTAGCACAAGAAATTACACAAACATCCTTTTGTAACTGTTTGCACTGCAGGAATGTGTTTATAAAATCCCTGACAGGAACTTCATCCACAGTTCTTTGGAGTGTGAATGTTACCACTTAAAACCTTAGAAATTTAAGCTTAAGATCAGCTTTACAATCCCTAATATGTGCTTTTCATCATAGGCCGGGGATGAGTTAAAGAACCATCTTTTTAATTTTCTATCATGCAAACACTTTAGATAAAACTCTGCTGTGTGAAAGACCATCTGTTTTATGGTCAAACTGTACAAGTTGAGAACCTCTTCATCCCTGCTTTCCTTGGATGTTCTTTCCTAACCCTGGAGGGAGGATCCATCTATAACTGATGCCTGCTCGGGAACGATCAATCAGTAGAAGAGCAGCTCCCTCTTTATTTATTTTTCCCAATATCTTCTCTAACTCTTACCTTTCTGAAATATACACCCAGGGTGCCCCTTAATGTTTGCTGTCAACAGGAAAGCTCAGACTTCATCAGGGTCCGCTTTGTTTCACTGGGACATCAGTAAAGCAAAGAAGTGCCTGAGGACGCATGAGTCTGAACCAGAATAAAGTAGATGATGAACGCGCGATGAGTCGAAACAAGCTGCCGAAATGATCTGAGCTCTGTGCTTTTTGTTATTTATTGTAGGTTGTGATCTCATTCATGGCTGTTGTTTGTTGATTGATGTGGAAACTTATTTGATTGTTTCCTGTTCGAATGAATAATTTGCCTCTCAAACTAATTCAATGTTAGTGTGTCTATAATAAATACTGACAGCTGCTGAAATCTTTACTGTTCGGTTCGCACAGCTGTATACATTTGTGTGACTAACACCGGACATATTTCAGCGCTAATATGCAAGTTTTTTCTCCATGCCTCCATCTGTAACGCATGTAACGATTTATGTGTCCTGCGGCAGACTCGGTGGTGGTACTGGAAGAAGTCTCAGGGGTCACAGCAGAGCACACCCCACTGGAGTGGGTGGAGGTTGAAGAGTTTGAGGCGGTTCCCACCGAGCCCATTTTCATGTCTACTGAGAAAGCTCCCTTGCTCAGTAGGGTAAGTAGCAGCCTGGGGCCTAATTAAGCTTTTTCTGACCTGAACTGCTGCTGCGTGCAGATTTACTTTCCATTTGCAGGCTGACTCACATGTGATACATGGATATATACCTGCACTCATGACTAAAGGAAAGAACAGAAACAACCCATTTTCACCCACTCTCATTCAAACATGATGGAGCATCTGGGTCATTTCTTTTATACTATAAAAATAAGTTAAGGCTAAGCAAAAATTGTTTAAAACTTTAAAAAAGTAAAAGGTCATTACTTTGAGATATGTGCAACTATTGTTCCTTTGCCATTCGCCTATTAACTAAAGGCAAATTTCAGCAGAAATAAGTTGCATATCACAGCCTTTACAATAAGTATCTTAAAATAAATATTTAGGAAACTGGGTGACTCCCAAGAAACCGCTCTGTTTTTTTTTGTTGTTTTTTTACCTGGTCCTCCTCTCTGTGTTTAGGAGCAAGAAAAACTTTTACTTTTAGATTCTTAATAATTGATCTGTGGCCAAGTTTGAGAAAGTAAATGCTTTTCTATATTATGTCCTTATTTGAAAAGATCAACCCCATGTTTCCTCCCTGTAATGACCTGTGCTGTAATATCTCCCATTTTGAATAGTTGCAGGGAGAAATCGGCCACATAAACTCATACTGGAGGAAGACGGGAGTGCATTTTTAAAATTGCTTCAGGTTTTTTTTTTATATTTTATTTTGATTGTTAATATATAGATATTTTTATGGATTTAGCACTTTTCTTTTTTTTTTTTACCAAACTTTATTGATACATTGTATTATGAAGATATATAAGCATTTTCAGTGGGAAATCCCTTTCCATTTACAAAATTTCTTTTTTTGTGACACATGAGGTGTCTTTTAAATATTAGAACAAATTATGGTTAACAATGTGGGGAAAGATAAAAAAAAAAAAAAAAAAAAAAAAATCCAAAATAGATTTTATTCTTAAATATTTAAAGAATAAAAACATATTATCTATTTAAATTGCAATATGTATTTAGTTTTTTTTGTAGGTGTTAGGTAGGCTTTTTTGGAGAGAATAACTATTGTTTATTTTTTATTCTGATTCTACGTATTTATTTATTTTAGAAAAAAAATTCATTATTTCTTGATAAAGCTATTTAAAAGGCAGGTTGCTGTTTAGAAGAACTGAAAGGAATATAAAAAAACAAGAAACGATACATTATAAGCCTGACAGTTTAATCAGTAAAATGTGTGATCAAGCTGGTAGCCGTGCTTAATTTTTCTTGAAATTAATGATTCTGTTCTTTCATACTGCAATACTATAATGTTGTTTGTTTTTTTTATCTGATCTTAGCAGTTTTTCTGCTAAACTACGCTAAAAATCTAATATTGTTGACTTTCTTCTTTCAGTCGTCCTCTACCTCCAGTCAGGATGATGAAAAGTCCACTCTGGAAGAAGTGAGCGAAGGAGCGATTCCCATCGATCAGCCCGGTGTTGGTCCTTCCACCCCAGGAAGCCAAGGGCCCGAGCTTCCGTTTCAGAGCCACTCTCAGTCACAGGGCCACGGACTGAACAAGTCTAGCTCGTCTCCGGAGCTACAGACCTTGCCAGAGGCCTTCACCAAAGCAGCTCTGGAGTCTGAGAAAGCTCAGGGGGACATGTCTCGGCCCAGAGCACCCTCAGATGGCAAGGCTCAGGCACAGCAGCCTTATTCAGACAAGGAAAGAGCAGAAGGGAGCACAGGGGTGGACTTTAATGCACCAGGAGGTTCGGTCCAAGGCGCAGAAAGCTCAGGCTCCTTGTCTCAGGCCGGAGGAGTTGCCATGAAGTTGGCTTTTCCAGCTGCTCCTGCAGCACCTGGGCCGATCTCTCCCAGTGGAGGCCACAGACCCCGTGGTCACACAATCTCTGTGTCAGCCCCATCCTCCAGGAGGGAGAGGAAGACGGAGAGGGACTCCTACCACAACCGAACTGGGCGCAGCAACACAGAGAAGATCTCTGGACTTAGTCCCAGGTAGGTATCAGTTAGGCTGGACCGTGGCTTTAGTTCACTGTTACTGACACACAGAACAGCCGAACAGATTGAGGAGCCAAAGATCTCAACTTCATGTAGATGTTTGTTGGAGATGAAAGTTTTTTTTTTTTTTTTCTCCTCAAGGTGTGTCCACTCAGGTTTTACATTATGTCTCAAAGCACAGTTTAGATGGAGAATTTTTTTTTTTTTTTTTTTTTTTTAACCCTTTTAAGTCATTATCTTCCCTTTAGGAGGCTGGTAAACATTAAGCAACCCTAAGGAGACAAAGCAAACTGCAGAACAATTCTTCATATGGAGTGGTGCAATCTTTTCTCTAAATGTAAAAACAAATCCAGATTTTTAGCAGCCATACTGATAAAACTTACTGTTTACTCCAAACAAAACAAACCAGCAATTCCTTTGAAATATTACATTTATCCCTGTAATCATAGATGTGATGTGGAGCCATTTTCTATATATTCCTTGAATGTTTTTTTTGTTTTTTGTTTTTTACTTTTTTAATTGTGATTAATTTGTTTAATGTTATAAAATTTGCATTTGGGTACATTTAACTAACATTTTGTTTTCAGCTTTGTCTTCCTTCAGCTGTATCACTCTCCTTTCTTTGGGAATGAGGCAAATAAGCCGCTCTTGTTGCCCAAAACGCAGGTAAGGATAGAGGCCTTGGAAAAAACGGTCTCTCACTTTCCTGTTCCATTCTGCTTTTCATTGTACAATTGATTACTCAGCATGTTAAAAGATTTGGATTAAAAGGTATTAACAGTTACAGCATTATTCTTTATTAGTCCACATTTTACGTGTATAGTTATTTTCTATGTTTGAACGTTAAGAATAATTCAACAATTATTCTTCATAAATGTATATTTTACTTTAGTGTCAACACAAAAAACTTAAACAAGATTTAACAACTATAGAACAAAAGATACCAAGTTAAGAAATTCACAGTTATAGCTGAAGGCCTATAAAAATAAAATGTTTTAACCATCCATTCATCAATTTAGAATTTAATGTAATAGATTTGATAAAAGCTCAGACTTTTCAAACTGCCTCCCTCAGGCTTACCACTCAGGTTAATGTTGATGTCATCCTTCCCAGAAAGCTGTTAACTTCTCATGGCCTCTGCTGCAGGTGATTGATCGGGCTGTGAAGGTTCTGGACCAAATGCCTCCTTATGATACCCATAAGATTGGAGTGGTGTTTGTAGGAGCCGGTCAGGTGAGAACAAACCTGTTGTAATAATACTGGAGCAGCACATCTGTATAGATTAATCACTTTTTTTCTCTAATAAATAAACAGTTTTTTTTAATTATCATTCTATTTGTTAAGGGAAAGAAACCATCCTAATTAGCTTTGATTCATTGATTCGGCTCCAATTCTCCAGATTTAGAATCAATGCTTTTTGATCCGATGCAATTCTACCTGATCTTTAATTGGATTGCTGGTAATGAAAACATTGCTATGCCACATATTGATAATAGTGTTATATTAACACTCAACAGTAAGTTAACAAAGTAGTAGTGACTGCTGGAAGGACAGTGGAAAATACGTGTTGAAATCAGACTTTGGTTTTATGAATTGATCTTTAGGAATTCGCTCTTCTATGCAGAGTTGGGTTCAGTTAAAACGCATTGGTGGTTTTCAATCATTAACTTTCTGTTTAAATTCAAGTTAAATTTAAGTTCATACTTTGACTAAGCCATGCCAAAACCATCATTGTGACTTTTTGAGCCGTTCAGAGGTGGACTGTTAAGCTTTGGATCATTGTCCTGCTGCATAACACAAGTTTAACTTTAACGTCACAAATGTATGGTTAGTTTTACTCCAAGGTTTTTTGATGAAGAGCAGATTGTATAGTTGCTTTGATGAAATCAAGTCATCCAGGTCCTGCAGCAGCAAAGCAGCCAGAGACATTCACACTACCAGCATGTTTGACTGTGTAATGTTCTTTCTGTGAAGTGCTGGATTAGTTTTACCAAACATATCAGGATTTTAAAAAAAAAAAAATCCTGCTTTTTTTCTTGTGGCTTTTATCTACAGAATATTTTACAGAATAATTTGGAAATATTTTTTCCTTGGAGTCAGTTGTTGGACATTTAGCCTTGAACCAGAGGAGCTCCCGTCAGCAGATCATTTAACTGTCCTCTAGACTGATTGGATAGTCTTACTGGTCAGTTGCATCCCTGCACATCAGACAGAAGCAGCAGGTAGCCTCCTCTGTTTCAGCTTCAGTGAGGGCAGCAGTGTTTTAAATGTTGTTCTAGGTTCCTCTGTGACCTCCTGGATGAGTCGCAGCCGAGCTTTTGGAATAATTCCTATATATATTGAGCTCCTGGGAACGTTCCCCAACTTTAAACGTTCTTTAAAGTTGTGCTCATTTAGGTTCATACTTTGACTAGGAATAGTGTTTGCAGTCTATTTGTTTATAACAGATCTCACTGTGGCTTTGTAGGATTAATTGGTGCTGGGAATTTGCTTTTAATCTTTTTTAATTCCTTAAAATGTGATTTGTTGCTTTTTTAGGCATTTCTTCCTAGCTCAGATTGCTATAAAGGTTCTGTTCTTAAAAGAAATGGAGTCATCATATTAAAAAGCTGCACTTTTTCTTTATTCTGGTGACTTTGTCTGACATAGAAATTTGTTGGACTTTTAAGACTGCTTGGAAAAAATCAAAAATAAGCATTTATGAGGTGGTAAATATATATTCCTACAGCACTTTGCAATGACCTTTATCCTCTTCACTCTTTCTCTTCAGGTTAACAATGAAGTTGCCATCCTGTCCAATGAATATGGTTCTAATCGCTACGCAGCCTTCCTCACCGGACTCGGCAAATTAATCCACCTGAAGGACTGTGACCCCGACCAGATCTTCCTGGGAGGACTGGACCAGTATGGGGATGATGGAGAGTTCACCTACTGTTGGCATGACGACATCATGCAGGGTGTGTGCACGCACGTCTCTACCTCAGTTTTGTTAATGTTGAAGGCTGTTCCAACTGAATGAAAATGTGTCTGCAGCTATATTCCACATTGCCACATTAATGCCAAATCGGGAGAGTGACAAAGGCTGCTGTAACAAGAAGCGCCATATTGGCAACGACTTTGTCATGGTTGTCTATAATGACTCTGGAGAAGAATACAAACTGGGCACCATAAAGGTAAATATGTAAATGTATCTAGTGAAATCATTTAAATATGTTTTTATTTTTTCATTACAAAGTTTGTCTCTTTCCTTGTTTAGGGTCAGTTTAATTTTGTGGAAGTCATTATAAAACCGCTGGATTATAATTGCAACCTCGTCTCTCTCCAATGCCGAAAGGGTGAGTTTATTTCGATCCTTTCTACTCTTCATCATTTTTCCTGCGCTTCATTTTATTCTGTCTTTCAGACCTTGAGGGCCTCGTAGACCCATCGGTGGCGAAAATCGTTTCAGACCGCAACCTTCCTCTCTTGGTTCGACAGATGGCTCTGCATGCAAATGTGAGTCTTAACCTTATATCTATAAAGCCTTGGGAAAATATTTTAGTTTTTGTTTTATATTACAGCCACAAATGTCAATTTATTTCCCTTGCATTCATTTTGAGATAAAACAACATAATTGATATCACAAATTTGAAGTAGAAGGGAAATGATGTAGAACTTAAAATCTGAAACGTGCGGCACGCATTTGTGTTGAGCCAAACTAAGTAAATATTGTTAGAACCATTTAGCAGATTGTCCCCAGCTTTTCCACATATAGACGCTGACATTTCTAATTGTTCTTCTTTGCTGAATAGCTTTAACTCCGTCAGCTCACCACAGATTCACAACTATGCTTTGAACTTTGACTAGGCCATTATGAAACACATGCACTCTAAACCATTCCATTGTAGCTTTGCTTGTACGTCTTGGGTCGTTTTCCTGTTGGTAGGTGAACCTCTGCCACAATCTCGAAACTTTTGTCGTCTCTAACAGCTTTTCCTCCAGAATTAGGCTAACCCTACTGTATTGGGTTCAATTAATCATGACAAAGTCTTACAGATTTATTTTCTCTGCTGGGGAAACATTTCCCCACAGCATGATGCAGCCATCCTCCATGTTTCAGAAAAGGGATTCTGTGCCGCAGCATTAGTTGTTCATCATTTTATCATTGTAAGCTCAAGTGACCAAAACACCTTCCTCATTCAGGTTGTGTCTCCTACATAATGTACCATACCATCTTTATTTATTAAGATCTCTATGACAACCAGAGCTGACGGAAAGCTGACATCACTCCAATGTATACATTAAAAGTTTTAAATGTATAACAAAGTAATTGAAGATTATACACAATAAAACCAACTAAAACAAGCGAGGACAAACAAAGTTTTGCTGATGTTGCAAGCTAAAGGAGTTTTAAAGTAGGCGGTGATGGAGCAGGCTTAGGTTACTCCACAGTAACAGGGAAGGCCACGCCCCCTCCAAGCCTCCTACTAGAGCTTAGAGGCCCCCTACTGCAGGGACAGGGCACGGCCATCTTTCAACAAAACATTTGGATTTTTTACTGGGATTATATTAAAAATACTTGGACTTTTTTTACTAAAACTTGAAGGCCTTAGATTAGATTAGTGGACTGAGTAGACTTTTAGACTTAGACAGATTTGATTGTGATTTTGTACACACAGAGTGTATATAAAAAGAACTTTCGTTCAGTACAGCTCTCAAGACATTAAAATTTTTTCAAAGTGCAGCCGTGATAAAGGTAAGCAGCAGTGATAATGCAAACATGCGACTGTATATTAGTTACAGCTCCAACATTCAGGGTTTTTTTTAAATATAGTAATATGCATATGAGTAAATATGCATTCCACACTTTCCAGCAATTTTTCCACAGTAAAATATTTGTCTGTTCATCAAATAAAATCCCATTACAATAAATGGATGTTAAAGTGCACACATAAAAATAATGTAACATTCAAGTTTGTTACATTCAGTACATCCAAATTCTAAACTAACCCAAGATCTCATTTGTCTAGATGGCTTCTTTGGTTCATCAGTACAGAGCGAATCCCTCGGATGCTTATGCTTCCAAGTGGCTGGCACGTTTACGGCACATAAAGAGGATCAGAACCAGAGTAAGTTTAAAAACCCAAGAGTTAAGAAGTTGTTCTCTGTCACTAATGATTAACTAGTCTAAATTTACACCCACCTGCTTCATCCCACTGCTGTATTCCAGGCTCAAGAAGACATCCAGTCCCGCTCTACTCCTGGAATCTCACTGACCCAAGGACACGCTCAGCAGAACAAACCATTTCAGCAAAGCACGTCTGCATCAAACTCCGAGGCGTCCGGGCAGAGAAAACGACTCGTCTCAACAGTTGACGATTTTACTGATTTTGTTTGATTGCTTTGGCACACACTCTCTCTTTTTCTTTCTCTCTCTCTCTCTCTTTCACACACACAAACACACACACACACAGGTTGTGTTCGTGTGTTTACTACTGTAGGAATTAAAAGTGATCATTTTCAAAAAGTAAAACGTGGTGCCGCTTATTTTTATGGCTTGAGACAAACTGCAGCGTGAACGTTTTTGTATGCTTTGTCATGCATTATTTTTTTTCTGCCTCTCTGGCAGTATTCTTTGACAGCAACAACAGGAGAGTTATAAAATGTTTACAAAGAGTTTGAGGAAAGCGTTTTATTAAACTAAATAAACGGTAAAGATGCACACTATGAGTTTTCTGAGAGTTATAAAAAATCCTGACATTTTTATTTCATTATCCCCCGATAAAGAGAAATTCTGAGCTGGAGTGCTTTTAAAACATTTGGAGGCTGGTCCCTTGGTCCCTTTGCTGCCTGATTTGGGATGTTTCATACTTTGTCTAACGGGTATTTTTAGTGTCCTGATTTTAATGTTTAATGTAAGGAAAGGAGTTTCCTTAGTTATAGCTTTGTAGACCTCCAACATGTTATTTAGAGCTCTTCTGGTTTGATCGGGACTATTATTTTATTGGAGGATAGAACCAAAATAAATGAAAAAACACACATGGTTTCATGGAAATCATGGATCAAGATGGTGCAAAATCTAGCAAAGTGCCTTTTCAAAACTTTCTTGCTGCTTTATGTGTTGGTTGTTAAACTCAGTTAATGCCCTTTACAGTACCTTGGACATTCTTTTTTTCTGCCTAAAATATATATATTTTAAGTAAATATGGTCACAACCTCAATTATAAAAACAAAGTAGTATCTCTTAGGTTTTGCATCTATTTCCAAATATGATCTTGAGAGAGTAATGGGTTTCTGATCAGGACTCTAAATAATTTGCAAACACACACAAAAAAAAACAAAAGCCTTTATGGCTCACCCAGAGCCATACAGGCTTTTTTATTATTTTTTTTGTGTTTCTGCTATAAAAAAAAAAAAAATCCAAACAGGGCTTTGCAGGATTTACCATCTCTTATTTTTTCCACATCAAAGGCCAACAAACATGCCAGATATCAGTGTTTATGTAATTTTGGACTCTCTAAAAACATCCTCATAAAATATTTTACAAAAGGCCTAAACACGTGAAAGCCTTGTTCAACAATAAAATGCAGAAGATCCTCAAATATGACACAATATCTTTGCTATTTAAATACTACAACGGTTTTAATTTAAATCATTCATATTACCAGTTCTTAAAATTTGATTTTTGTTATAGTCATAAATACATTTAAGAGGTTTCTGTTTGTTCTGTAAGCCTACATGGTAAAAAGTAAAGTCTGCCAAAACATAACGGGACCTTTTATGCTGCTGTCAACTGATCCAATAATGAGTTTACTGTCGGACTCTAATAATCAAATTAAGGAAAATTTCTTAGTGGATGTGATCCTTCATTTCCCCCTTAATAACCAGAATGATTTTGACCTTGCAGAGTTCAGGTGTCAAATGCTTTATTTGACTTTGTCAAGTGCAAAAGCAAGAGCAGTGCTACAACTGCATGAATACAAGGAGGAATGGCAAAGGCAAATGCTTTCAAATAAAAAGCTTCATAAAGCAACAGACTGAACAAAAGAACATAAACAGTTTAGCTTTGGCACCAGGCTCTTCCACATTGTACACAAAGAGAGGGAACATCAGACTGCAGAGCTTCCTGTGGTTTCTACTAAACCATCAGTTCTGTCAAACATTAAAGACTTAAAAGCTTTGGTTGTTTTGCATTAGTCAGACCAGGAGAAAAAAAAAAACTGAAAAAACATTGGAGGTTGCAACACCAGTGCTTGACATAAGTGTGAGTTACTGCGCACTATTAATATAGATTACAAAAATATCTACATCCTAAGGCCCAAATATATACAAAACATATACACACAGTAAAAATACTTGTTAAAGCTGGACAAAGTTAAAAAAGCAACTAACTTCAGAACTAAACATTCATCCTCTTTTACATTGAGGCCAACACAATGCAGTACCGCTCCCTTTTATATTTTATATAACTACAACCAGACTTAATTTTTGTTTTTATTTAATAATAAACTGGACTGATCTCTTGGATTTGAATCCAGCTGTGACAGAGAGAGGATAGGTTCCCTGAGATGTGCCCACTCGACACTGGAAGCGCGTGTGTTGATGCGACAAGATTAAAACAAATCAAAGAGCTGACAAACATACAAACAAATGCAAGCTTTAACAACAGCCGGGAAACACTTTTACAAAGTCCCTTTAACGTAAATGTACTCATATCCTGACACATAATTAAATATGGTGTTCAACATCTCTGTTAGAGAGTAAAGTGCAAGTACAAAATGAATTAATGCATGTCTGGATAAAATCAAAATGCATAAATGATTTTCAAAGCTTTGGCAGCGCTTATGGTTAAGTAACTAAGTACAGTATGAGTGAAGCTTTATGCGTTTGGTTTGGATACCGAGCTTATTACTTAATGCCACAAAATACCTTCCAACAATACAAAAAGTGCTTTTAATTCAATCCATATGAAACACAATAACAAACATTTAGGGAAGATTGAAGAGTGGGAGTCAGTATAGCTTTATAATTGGTGAACCAATTATGGTTCATTAACATGTTAATGCTCATGTTTTAAGAAAAAACATCCATAAAATCTCCCTCATTTCCATCCCTTTGTCCTTTATTCTGTTAGCACCTTCTGCATCTCTCCATCAGACCCTTTCTTAAGCCTTCTGTTGCTTTCTCTGGTTCTTATCTCCAACAGTGCTGGCCATAATTATTGCCGTGCCTTGAAAAATGTAAAAAGCCTTCAGGTAATTCTGGAATCTATTATTTATGTAGTTATAAAAAAAGAAAAAAATGTGTGGAAATTAAACTTTCATATCTGGAACATTTATTTGGTTGGAAAAACGACCCAAAACAAGACATTCAAGCGTTACTGCTATCTTAAACAATTTCTTAAAAACAAATGTAAGTTTTGAAGTTAATCAGACTGACTGCTGGGATGTTTAAATTGGAATCAATACCTTTTTGTTCCCCCGGGATACGAATACAGTCGGTATGTGGAACAACGGCTTGTATTTTTTTACAGACCTCAAAATATCACATTTAACCTTTTGTTATTTTCTAAAGTCAGGCATTGAGATAATTCTCCAGTGTTTGAGGGCAATGTTTTTGACATTCAGTGCAATGGAGTTTGCAAACTTTGGGTGATTTGACAGGCTTGCAGTTAAAGTTTTTGTCGACATACTCAGAATGCATTTAGAACTAGACCGTTTGAATAATTTGATTCAAACTGTTTGTGTGACGATGCTAAATGAATGTGGTTTATTTACTAATGGGGAGCTGCTCCTCCAATGCTTTTAAATTCCTGACTTATAACTTTTCTATTTTTGTGGTTCCAGCCCTTAAAAAAATGTTCCTGAAAATGCTTCATAAAAATATCCGACATTTGATTAATTATTAATACCTTTTACTAATCTGTGTTTATACCAACATGCGGACTCGGCTGGCACCAAGAGTCCTCCCTCTAAACCGTTTTGTTAGACCTCTATCTAATGTTTAACCGGATAACAGAGCTGGCAGAAATCACATTAATTGAAAATCTCAGGATTTAAAGAGAGTCTGATGAAGTCTAGATAAATATGCCTGCTGAATCTGTCCAATAATGATGATTTTATTCTGTATTTAGGGTGTTTTCCACACTTAATAAATAATTTTGAGAGGGGATATTCTGTGATGTTAAACCTTTAAATTAATTGTGCACATTTCGCTACAGAATTAAAAATGGCCGGCACTGTATCCATCCTGTCATGCAGGCAAGCTGCTGAAATCTAAACGCCATCATGTGCATGTTTCCTAGAGCCCCGCATGGTTCGGAGCACAAGACCAATTTCCACCTGCTGATACATGACTACAGTGTTAGATACTTGTGTATACAATGTGCGTGCCTGCAAGAAACGATATCTTTAACAAAATAAAGACAGACGACATTGAGCAAGGAATCCTATATACAGAGAAGTTTGGGGTTAAAGTCTCTTATCTTCTGCGTGAGTCCTCTGGTAAGCACTTTTCGGTGCTCCTGTCACAACGCCATTGGGACCTCCAGGATCAAATGACGACAGAGTAGGACGGTAGGGATTTTGGAGAGGTACGATCAGTCACCTGGTGACCTGCACCAAGGTTTAGGGCGAATTCCTTTGCATCTGATTATCCTGAATTTTGCCAAACAATCTGCTCAAACATTCTGTCTTTAGGCGACTTTCTAATCTCTTTCTGATTCCTTGGTTTCTCTTCTCTTCCAGGGTTTAAAGAGGTATATCTGGGGACAAGGCCAGCTGTCCTCGATCTCCTCTCGTCCTTAACCCAACCTTTTCTTCCTACGTTCTCCAGCTCAGCATTCCTCTTCTCCTGCATTCTGTTAAGTGGGGTGCACCTTGTTTTTCAGGGGCGGGGCTTTTCGTTTCCTCTTCCGTGTGGGGATGGTGGTAGTGTGAGCTGGGTGGTTAAACAGACTCGAGGAGGGTAGGGTCTCTCTGTCTGTCGGAGGATCTCTATTCATAATGGGCGTGGGTCCGCAGGTGGGCGGCATGGAAGGAGTCTGTGCCCGGGGGTACGAAGGAGCTAAGGGTGCTTTGGAGGGTGGATCATTGAGAGGAGGAGAGCTTGCTGGGATGGGGTCAACGATGGGTTTATCTGTGACCGAAGATGGAGAGGACGCGCTGACTGATGTTCTGACTGATGAATGTGAGGTGGGGGGCTGTGTGGATGCTGATGGAGCTTTTGGCTTTGAAAAGGGAACAGGGGTGGCAGCAGGAGTCTTTCTGCTTGCAGATTCTTTTGAAGGTTGACTTTTATCTGTCTTTTTCTCTTTCCTGCTCCTGGTGTGTTTTTCTTTTCCAGCCCTTCGTTCTTTCACTTCCTTGTCTCTCCCCTTCCCTCTCTGTTTACCACCTCCTCTCCCTTCACCACCATCTTCTCCTCTTTCTCTCTTAATGAGCCTCCTTTTCCTCTGTGCTCGCTCCAGCCTGCACTCCATGTGGTAAACATCCTCTGTCGCCATGTTAACTCGGTCGAGCTGTTGCAGGAGAGCATCCAGGGTTGGGAGCAGCCTCCTAAGGGAGGCCTCTGTTTCCGCCCTCTCCCTCCAGCTCATCCCCCCTACCACCACCCCCGGGCTGAGCCCCAGACTCAGACCTAGACCCAACCCGAGGCTAATCCCTGGGGCCTCCGTTAGGCTACAAGGGCTTGAGGAGGCTGGGCGCCATGACGCCTCGGAGCCGGCATCAACGCTATCTGGGGTCGGTGGGGAGTCTGGACTGTCCAATGGGGGCAGACACAAGGACTTACAGTCGCTGGTGGAAGATGAGCGGGATGGAGGGAGCTCCATGCCTTCGAAACGCACTTTGTGGCGAAACTGTGATGGAAAGAAAAAATCATTAGATTATTTTTGGATCTGTATAAAATGTAAACGTTTTTTCCCAACAAAACAAATGGATTTCTAAAGTACCGGCTCTCCAGGCAAATTTATCTTGTAAGTACAAGGTGTTCAATGTTTCTGGATATTTCCTTGACCATCAATAGAAACTCTTTCCTCTTTTAGAACAAACTTACTTAGTTAATATATTCGTGAACGCACTTTCCCAACAGCTCATTTGAATAATACGTTCAACAAAACCCTGAAAATGGCTAACATCCTGTTAGCCTTAGATGTAAAGCAAGGTTATTACCTCTTTGGTCCTGCTAAGTCCCATCCACATTTTGAGTCTTCTGACGAACAGTTCCACCATCTCGTAGTCTTGGAGATCTACAGCGGGGCGATAGAGCTCTGCTCGGGCACGCCGGTAGTTCCTCAGCAGCACAGAGATGATCAACCACAGGAAAACTAGCCTTAGGAGCGCAAATGTTGCATGGAATGTCAGGGTGGAGACGGAGTTGGACGGACCAGTCATTGCCAAGGCAGGGAGCCACGATACAAGGCCCCTCCCTCCAGCACCCAGTAAAGACAGACAGGCGGAGCTCACGCTGCCGTACCCATCCAACACAGAGTGGAAGAGCTGCAGGGAGAGGTCATGAAAAGAGCTCTATAAAACCAGTTCAAAGCCAACTGATATTTAACAATGAGTCCAATTTTGAAAACTGGTAGTAGTATCCCACCAGGTGTCCTGTGTGGGAGTAAGCCAGAACCAACAGCAACAGAGCCAAGGCGACTCCCAGGAGCTCCCAGGCCGAGCGGCGCAGAGCTCTGCCAAACACCGCCCACTCACGAAGAAAACGCAACTGGTGCGATGCCTGAGTGACCGAGAGGGGAGAAAAAAATGTAAACAAAGGGAAAAACATTGTATGTACGGTCATTGCAGTGACGTCTAAATGCCACACTATTCTAACTTTTTCACACAAGAGGAATTTTAGTGCTGAGGGAGTTAATTTTCAGTAGGTCTACAACATGATCTTTAAATGATGCATCATTAAGTGATACTCTTCAGTTAGTCTGAAAAACATCAATCAAAGACATATGTTCATCTATCATATTCATGTTCTAAATGGTTACAGGGTACAATATGTTCCCAGGTCTGACTTTCGTTTTTTAATGTCACTTAAACACACTTAAACTTTTAATGCCCAGTCTTGCAAATAATCACCAAAACAATTGCATGATGCAAAAAGCGACAACTCCAAATGACAGTTATTCCACCTGAACCATATATAACAATTTGGAAACTACTTAAAGGCATAAAAACATACAGAGTTTTTTATGAGTATATAAATTAAGGGCTTAAGATTTAGTAAGAAATATATTATTTGTCTCTGCTTTACCTTCAGAACCAGAATGAACAGCAGCATGGCAGACATGACGGTGTACAGCTGACTCCGCCTGGCCAGTGGGTAGAAGTCTATAAAAGCGTTGTTGGGTTGCTTCAGGAACAATGTCCACTGCTGCTTGGCCATAACAGAGCGACTCAGGTGTAACCCGCACACAGATGCAGCCAAACACAGCTTACATATACCCATTACTCTCCACGATGACAACAGGTATCTGTAGCCCTCTTTGAGGAAGCCCAGAATCCCTCGCACCAGGAAATACAAGATCAGGCAGAGGAGGACCATCTGGAAAACAGATGTTCACAGAGGTTGGAGGAATGGGAAAACCCTCTCAGTCAGACCTTATTTTTCTTAGAGGTGTGAGATGAATGTACCGTGAGAAGAAGCTGGAGGTCCAGGCCTGAGATTGGCCACAAAGTGATGACAATGAGATCAAGGCTGGACTGAGCACGCTCAGAAACCGGGAACTCAAACAGAAACCTGCATACGGCCAGCAGGTTTGTGTTGATGTTGTAGAGGGAGAACTCCACAAACATTGCTCGAGTCCTGCAAACACACACTCACTTCAGACTCATGTCTTTATCATGTTTCATTTACCTCCAAAAAAAAAATGTTTGTTACAGAAAAAAACTCATCTTGGATTTTAAAAACATTAATCATCACTAACTGTTGCTTTGTCAACTGTGAATATTTGTAAGCTCAAACCAAATGTTGTCATGACTGGATGAAAGACTTCAGTTATGATTTGCAGAAACCATTGTTGAAAGTCTCTTAACCTACATGTTTCTGGGATTTATTTTCCTATTTTTTTTATTATTATTTTATCATAATTGCTCCAACCTGTGGAAAAAATCTAGACTTCAGTCACAATAAAACTCTGGGCCAGATTTCTTAAGCAATGAGCTGAGGAGGAAGGCTAGTGGAATTAATAAGAGCGAAAAATAAATGAACTGATGCACTATTTAAAAAAACGAGAAAAGGATAGATGTACAAAGGTGGTAGGAACCAATCCTAAACTGTACAATCTATGACTCCAACCGAGATAAAAATAATGAATTATGTTATATATATAATTGCTGCTTGGACAGATAATAAAATTTTTTGAGTTTTTTTATTAGATGTACTGTTAATTCTTTTAAAAGTTCATATTTGCAGTGCCAGAAAATCCAAGTTGTATTTGCAGTAAAAGTATTGACTTCAAACCCAACTGATCCCTCTATTTGAAGGTTTAAAGGCTGATAATAACCATGCATACTTCACATTTGACTTGATAGTTCTATGTTACTCTGAGTTGGTCTGACTCCAGTAATCATAACATGGACATGACAACATTTCTGGCTGCAAAACAAGGTTTTAAAAAGGTTCAGGATGTGTAAATACTTTTGCCAGAGGCTTTACATATTTCTGGAGCAGTGGACATAATTCAGTATTTAAAAACAACTCTAGTTTTTCTACATGCATATCTCATTATGGTCATTACTTGTGGTTGGTCATTTGCAGCTGCTGCTGCAGAGACGAGGAGGCCTCCTTCAGACTCCCGTTAAAGTGGTGAACCATGTTTCTGTCAGACTCTTCCATCTGAGCCCTTGAAAAAAAGAAAAAAGACAGCAAAAAAAAAGAAGGTGAATGAGTGTGACATAACAAAAAGTCTTTCTTATCACTGAAATAATTTCTTGCCAGCAAACCAATGATTGATATGATTCAATGCTTTCCTTACCAATCTGTATGGATGCCAGCAGTGACCGATGCATTCTCTCTGGCTCTGGTTAGGGATGTAATCAAATGAGGGGATCGTTCTCTTGGTCTGAAACCCCCTAAAGCTGGAAGATATGGGACATTTTGAGTGAAAACCAGTACTCAAGTTGAGGGGGGATGACGGGAAATGGCATCCCCCTTCTTAGAAAATCTTCGAACTCATCCGCCTTCTTAAATGACCACCCCCCCATACAATCCCCTGTGACATTTTATCACTGAATGTGTAAATTTCTATTATATATTAACATTAATGGCAATAATATTGCCCTTTCGCAGGTTACGCTTTCGAGTAGTGCACAGTCTGAGCTGTTCTGAACAGCATCCCGGCCGAGCGTCAAAGACAAAAAGATTTGATGGAATGTGAAAATAAGGAGGGGAGGGAATCTTCCGCAGGTTCTAAGTTGCTGAGATCTCTCTCCCCTGCCCAGTTTGAGAAATAATGTTTACAATTATGCAGGTTTCTCCACATAATCATACCTGCTCTCTGTGCTTGTGGTATGAATATCATAAGTCTGGGACAATAAATGTGAAAATAAGGAGGGGAGGGAATCTTCCGCAGGTTCTAAGTTGAATAAATAAAGGGTCATAAATGATCTAGAATGACGTTGATAGCAAAATGGGGAATTTCCATCCACTGAGCAAAGAATTTATTCATCGCACACTGACTGTAATACAGTTTCGTCTGAAACGTGTCTTCATACAAGTAAAATCATATTAATTCGAATGTATCTGTCCACCAAAACTATCAATTTTAAGGCAGCCATGTATGAGAAATATGAAAACATTAAGAATATGTTTAAGATTTTCCTTTTTGTTCACATTTCAATCCATTTTCTCATCAATGGCCGTGAGTTTAGGGCGATGCGCGGTCAGAGGAGGTAATTCTCGGTACAACAGAGGAAACCCGGAGGGGAGAATCGAAGCAGGGGTGGATTTAGGAAATTTGGGGCCCTAGGCAAGACAGGCATGGGGCCTTCTGAACTGAGAAGATAACTCATAATACAAACCCATTATAGAGACACAGAATTTTGGGAACTTTGTCTCTAACAACTTATTTTGGATCGTCCTGCTTACTGTGCCTAATGTCATTTTAGGTTCTGCCTCTAACAGTCTTCTTTACCAATGGTACAGTTGTTTTAAACGTATTACATATGAAAATTGTTGAGCTTATTTCTAGGTGTCATTTACTGATTTACTCGAGGAATTAAATTTACTTTAAATGCCATTTTCTCCTGTTTTTTTAATTTATTTTGAAAAGCAGCTAAGAGAAGTAGAACTTTATATACATCAACCTAAAAAAGTGTAAATTAGAAAATGTTTCAGTCACATTTAACCATGGCCAAAGCCCTTCAAAAGTATCATTGCCTAACACAGAAGGTATATGAGCTTTCAATGAGGAACACTATGTAGCAGGTATGTGATTAACGCTGTTGAAAAGCTGTTTGAATTGATCCACCAAGGCAAAGATTATTATTGTGTAAGCAGTAATATCAAATGTTTTGTGCTGAACTTAGTGGATACTTAGTTATAAGGCAGTGCAGTTTGTAGAGTACAAAAATAACTTCACTAATAACAAAAATAAGCAGATCTAAAGGATAGCACCTCTTCAAATATACTATTGTTAATTAGGAGCTCAGTCTTATTTGTAAGCTCTGAGTTAAAGGTCAGACATCATGGTAAGGTTAACTCACGCTGTGTGTCACGGGTTTGTTGGAGCCTCAGACAGCCGACCAGCATGCTCCCTGTGTCTCTGAGGAGTGAGGACTCATCCAGGAGCCGAGGCAGCAGAGAGTCATTAAGCCAGACCAAAACGTCTTTTCGTCTTAAAGACAAAGAAACATAATCAGCACTCCCAGAGAAGATATGCAAAAGAGAAGCTTGAGTGGAAAGAGAAAAGGATTACATGTTTGATTTGGATTTAGTTCTAGAATAATATGTGTTGTTTAATAATAAGTGTTGTTTATTAAGTGTTGCCATTTTTGTGTTCACATAAAGGGCATCAGGTCCTTATAATGAAAGCAAACGTGGAATTGGGAGTAAAACAAATCACATTTTAAGACACAGATTTATCCTTAACATTTATCCTTAAATGAGTACCTGCTAATTGTGTGGTACTCAGGTGTCAGTAGGGCTCGTTGCAGCTGAGTCCTCAGTCTCAAACTGTGCGTGTCTTTGGCCGAGTCAGAGTAGTTGAGAAGCAGGACGACCAGCAGGAAAAACATGTAGACCAGGAAATTCTGAGAAAAAGCACAAACATGTTTTATTTCTATTAGTCAACAAAGCAGAGGTTTTTCTGCCTCCAGTAAATAGGCTCTGTTTCCCACAGACCTTCAGCATGGTGTGCAGCATGTGGACCTTGCGGGCCTGGTGTCGGGCCTGAGACAGAGCGAAGCCCTGTGGCGGTCTCACCCTAGTGACCCGCTGGACCACTCGCTCCTCTCGAGGGTAATCCACCAGAACATCGCTGTCCTCTGGACGCAGGCGACGCACACACACAGCAAAGTAAACAGCCTCACATAGCACCTGCGGGCAGAGGGAAGCTGTTAGGATTGTTAACACTTTAAGATCTCAAGAGGTTAACATTGGACTTTCAACGAAATTCGAAAATAAAAAAATCAACACAGCCAGCAGGGATTATAGACAAAAACAAGGACATAAAATGTACAGATAAGTACCATAATTTTGCTATAATTCTAGACTATAAGCGGCTACTTTTTTCACAAGCTGTGCATCCATCGTATTATCGTCTGATGCTGCTTTTCAATGGATTTGTAAATGATTTTTGTGATATCGTAAGAGGATTTGTTTTGGTTTGTGCTGGCGGAAGAGCATGTAATCAGACACACAGTATCCATGGAAAAGAGTGGTATGTTGGTCACATGTCCATGTGAGGGCAAGGTAGTGTCACACAATTTAGTTCGAAAAAGAAGCAGCTGCAGCCACTCAACATTACAAAGTAGCACTGCGCGTTCAGTGGCAAGTTTTGCACATATGCCAGTGGATTTTGATCACATGGAGAAGTGTGAAAACATCCACAATCACCAACACATTTCGAAGGGCTGGACGGCTGTGTGACCCTTTAGAGGGTGTTCGATTCTGACACTGACACCAAGGAGTTCTTTGGTTTTGAAAGCAACAGCGAAGGAGAGGATAGTGGATGGGGAAGCCACCCTGAGCCTGTTTGTTTTCGGACACTAAAGAAAAGGACTTGAAGAGGTGGTTTTAGTAGGCAGGAAGAAGACAATGGTGATGGTGATGAATCTCTGGCTTTTCTTCCTGTTAAAATCTAAGCGGCATCTTAGCCCAAAAGGAAGGCCAATCCTATTTTTTGTGGTGTGCTGTATGTTATTTTTATACACTAAATGTGTTACTCATTTATACAGCAGAGTACATGTTATGTACTTTTAATTACCGGTAGTTGTACATATACGGAAAAAGTTATGCAAATATGTAGCGGCAGCTTGTTTTTCAAACTGTTAATAAAAGGGATGTTTTCCCAATCAGCTATCTCTTTAATGACAACACCCTTTTTCCATATTCTCTTACAAATGGTAATTAAAAATTCCGTAAAAGTTTAAAAAACAATCCACTGGACTTGGTTTCCAAGGTTTGAAGACGTTTCGCTTCCCCTCCTGGAAGCTTTCTAAATTCAAATGTCTGAGAAAGCTTCCTGGAGGGGAAGCGAAACGTCTTCAAACCTTGGAAACCAAGTCCAGTGGATTGTCTTTTAACATTTTACGAAATGACTATGACCTGGATGACTAGGAATCTTCATCAGCGTAATTAAACATTCAAACACCTGCGTCAAATATTCAGGTGCACCTTGTAGTCCAGAAAATACAGTAGTAAAAACAAAAAAAAAGGGTGAATTTAGAGATGAGTTTGGCAGTAAATCGTGTACAAGCATCCCTAAAAAGAGTCTGGGAGGGTCTACCTTAATTGGCTCCAACAGCAGACATGAGCAGAGGAAACTAGCGAAGCAGGAGATTAACCACATCATGGCCACCTTCTCACTGAACCCGTAGCCCGCCCAAATGGAAACACAGCTGGCCAGAGCGATTCCAGCCCAGCTGCCCCACATCGCCGCCAGTCCGCACCAGGGAGGGAACCGCCGGGGACGGCACACATCAGTTATTACTTGAGCCAGGAAGACAAGAATCGTTAGTTTAAAAAAACATCTGGAAAAGTTTCAATCAATACTAATCCGTCTGTTAGAACGGCCTACAGTAGCTACAGCACAGACCTAAATACAACTGAGAGACTTTGGTAATACATGTAAACAGATAATTAAGGATGTTCTCTAGATAATCTGAGAGAATTTGATATATTTAGCAAAAATGTAGTAATTGAATTTCATATATTTAGCAAAAACAGACTTATTATAATAAGTCTATAGCATATTATAATATCCTATGAAGTACAGAACTATGGAATACAGACAGACGTTCTCGTGAAAGGAAATGGTGGGGTGATTATGTTGACAATGATGATTTGTCATAGAGGATTAAATGTCTTATTTTAAAAATACAATATAATACAACACAATAATGGATTAGTGACCTTTTAATTCAAATCTAAGGATTACTAAATACCATTGATTCTGCCTTGGCCTTTAATTAGCTGTAGGGAGACTTGAATGCCCTTTTCAACAGCTGAAAGTTGACTGAATTAATCTGAAGATCTTAGTAAAAAAGGATTATTTAACTGATAACTGCTTTACGTCCAAGCTCAGAAGCTCAGTTTAACATAATCTTACAACAAAAAAGGTTGAATTCCACCAACCCAACTTTCCCTGTGAATCTGTGAAGTCTTAAAGATGACCTTTATTCTTTTTAGGTTAGATCACAAATCAATAAAGTGTATGCTTAGCTGTCTACATTTTATAATTATAAGTCAATAAACGTAAATAAATGTAAGATATATACAAGCACAAATAAAAATTTAGGGGTATATGTATGAGTTCTAAAAGCTTATTTATAAATATGACTAAAACCTTTATGAGCATAAATCACAAATTTATGCTTTATGAAATAAATGTACTGTTTTCTTTTTTTGTTCATTCCTGCTCATTTATATAACTTGGGGAGCAACGTTCTGGTGCATTACTGCCACAAACTTAAATTTGCTGTTGTAACTTGAGTTGGTAAATTCCAGCTATATATTCTAACTGATGAAACATTTAAATTCACATGTATGATGGAGCTGACAACAAGAAACAAATGCAAATCTTAAATTTAGTCACATTTATTGACTTACATGCCAATAATGACAAGTCAGACTCATATACATATGCTTTTAGTAACTATTTTACTCCATAATCTTCTTTTGCTTAAAGCAATTTTCAAAATGTATATTTTTACCCAACCAGATTTTTAATCCAGTTTGTATTATTTGCTCTACAATTTGTATTTAATCAGTGCCTTGGAAAAAAAAAAATATTTAAACCTCTTGTATTTGACATGTTTTGTTACATCCACAACCTTCAGTGTATTGTAGATGTTCTGTGAATGAGTGACAAACAATACTAATAATTATGAAGTAGAATAAATAGGACACATGTTTTTTTTTTAAGTTTTATGTTTTATAATACAAATAAATGATATTTTAGGGTGTGTATGCTTGCTTGTATCCCTATAGCATAATGCTGACACCTCGATGCATTCGATGGGGTGCATAGGGGAAGAAGCAGTTTAAATAAAAAATATTTTGAAATCACTGTTTAATTTTCTTTCCATTTAATAACCAAGCAAACACATTTTCTCGGTCTGTAAGTTGGTAAATCACATTAAACTTTGAGGTTTTAGTGTTTTAAATCCAAGGTACTGGAAAATGATTTCTTAAAATTACAATACTGCATAAATAAAGTGAGGTTAAAATTATATAAACTTCCATGTCCTTGTAAAAACACACCTGTATTTGACATGAAAGCTGTTTTTGGTGGATCCCTCCTTATGGATTCAAGGGTAAGAGGTTCACTCAGTTTCTGAAGAAGAATCACTTCTGTTTTGTCCCCAAAAATACTTGACCTGAAGTAGAAGTTATAGAAACACATCAAACACTAGCAAATTAAAGCTGTTTGCTGATTTTACTACTTTATAAAATAGGAGAGTAACTGGCTTACAGGTCAGCCATCTCACTCTCATCTGCCTGAGGAAAGAAATTCTGCCCATCTTCGAGTATGTGTTTAATCAGATCCTCATCTGTGAATAGAAGGGAGACAAAGGTCAGTATTTCTGATTAAGAAGTGCCTGATTTAACCCTGCACTCTTCCAGCTGTGATCACCTGATGAATTAAAATTTTTGTTACATGGATCAGATCCCTCCTCCTCAGGGTTCAGGGTCATGTCTTCACCCAGGTATCTGCTCCCCTTTACCCTCTTCAGCCTGGGCATCCCTGCCCCGTGTCCGGCCCCTCCCACCACAGCTTCATCATTCATCCCGTCCGGCCAGTCTCGGTCATCTGTGTCCTCCTCTGGCATGTCCCAGGTGTCATCACTTAAAAGCAAAAGATGTGAATTAGACTACAAGAAAGTTTTTGTGCATATTAAACTTTATAGAAAATGTTATTATCTGAGAACTTTATCATCTTTCTTTCCTCTGATTACCCTTAATATTTGCTGTCATTATATATTTTCTCTGAGTCTCCTTCTGCTCAACCATAGTCTTATAGTAGCTAGCAAAGAGTAGTTCACCTTTTAAGAGAGAGAGACGGCAGATCCACATTTGTCTCCTCTGAGCTGGTCTGAGAAACAGAATCGTACAGATAGATTAATGCACAGCTAAAGCAGCTTTCTATACAATAGAAAATCTTAAGTCTCAGATAAAACTTTACCTCTCCATTAAAAAAGAGGATAGAACTTCCTCCCAATGAGTTATCCAGGAAGTCATCAATCACCACTGACTCCTGATCCCCTTGTGAAGACACCTGCTCCACGGTCACGGACTGCAGACAAACACAGAATCTGAGCTTTAGATTTCAAACGGGAGAACAGAATGTGGTCTGCTCTGGTGTTATTGTACCTTGCTGCGGCTCATTCTGAATACAGCGAAGACCAACAGGTAGAGCGGGTAAACGATCAGACAGGCCACCACGCCGGCTGCTAACGTCTCTGCGTTCAGTGAGGTATATAGGGACACAACCCTTTTGCTGCAGAACAAGATGGTATTAAAAGGATTTTACACCTCCATGTCTGTCTGTCTGTTTGAAATGCACATTTTTTTCTTTGAGAGCTGCTACACAAATTTTGTTGCACTTTTGTTTTGCAAAGAAAAACTAAACTAAAGAAATTCTGAATCTGTTATAAAAACCTTGGATTGCATGTCTAAATGCTATGACTGATCTGTGAATCTCTGCAGGTAATCAAGTTACAAACTTCTGGCTGATTATCTGATTAATTGTCTCTTTAAGTAGACATCTCTGTGAGACAGACAAAGCTTGGGATATTGGTCCTTATGCAACAACAGTTTTGTATTCAACAAATGTTCTTAACTTAAGTAAATGATTGTAAATGAAACCATTTTTCAGGGTGTTCCTGAGAAATGTAAATCTACCGACCCTATAATCCCATATAAGGGTACGAATTCCCACGCCTGTGTTAATGAACACACAGGTGTTCATTCATAGAAACGGCATTCAAGACAAAGAAGAAAAACTCGCAGAACTGAGCAGCAGATTAAAGCAGCAGATCTGTTTGTTCTTTCTTTTGATGAAATGATAACTAATTAAACCAGCTGCAGGTGTAGTGTCCAACAGTTCTGTCATCAGCTAATACAAATATAATTTAAAATTGTGGAGTTGCATAATGTATAACGATGTAGCCTAATAAAATGGACAATTGCTTCTACGTAAAATAAAAGTAGTAGGCTGGAAATCCCACACACCTGTATCTTGTGTCCACTATAATACTGTACCACAGAGTGTTTGCTAGCAGGATAAGCTGCAGCAACACAGCACAGCAAGTGGCTCTCTGCAGCCGGGTAAAGGGGCTGCGGGGGGGCCTCTCCCAAAGAGACAGCCAAAGGTGACTCTCACACAGCGCCCTCTGCAGCTCAGCCCTCAGGAGTCTGGGAAACCGCAGAAGCACAGCCTCCTCTGACGGAGCAAAAACAAATATGTTGGTGGGAGAAGACTGAAAATACCAAGCAGCAGTTTAGCAGTTTGATCCTCACCGGCTGCCTCCACTTCAATCTCCACCCGTCCACCTGTTCTTTCATTGTCTACAGACAACCACTCCTCAACCGGGAAGTAATAGCTGCTCTCAGTCTGCAGGTCTTTAACCAACACATACTGTGGCATCCAGGCTGGAGAGAGGCCTGTTGAAGCAGCAGCGAACAAAGGTTACAGCAGATTTTTTTAAACGACTTACAATGATGCTGTGTTTTTAGCTGCTATAAATGCTTAAAAAGTCTCTTCTTCACCTTTGTTATCATGCCAAACCCGGATCTTCCACACACTACCCAGGCTGGTGTCTGTGGCAATGTGAAAGATGTTGAGAGCATTGCGGGTAAAAGCTCCTTTGCTGTCAAGATGCCGGTGTCCGCTTCTGCTTTCACGTCCATAAAGGCTGATTCCAACGTGAGCCGTCGTGCCTATGGACAGATAATAACTGATTAAGCAAATGCTAAAGAGCTTAATAGAAGGTGGGAAATCATATTGAGTGCTTGTCAGAAATGTATTGAATTCTAAAAACAAGAGTAGGATAAAAGTTTTAATTTACTGTTGATTTTTCTCAAGTTTGTGCAAAGTCAAAATCAAATATACAGGTTTAGAAGAAGTTGAGCTGACAATATCTGTATAAATGCTTCATGAAAAGTTACAGGGAAACCAGACTCTTTCTGTTGCCGTTAAACCTCTGGCATAATACTGCTTCGATTATTGACAATGTCTATTATATCACTGGTGATGGGGTGTGATGAAAATTTAAAAAAGTTAATTACAGGGTGTATCATTAATGAATCTAAATTAATCACGTTTTAATCAAAGAACAAAATAAAACCAAAATGTCAATTGAAAAACACTTATTGCTACATAATTATTACATAAATATTCACATGAGCACAGGAAAACATATATTTCCTGTATTTAACGTATTATTTTGGCCATTCAACCATCAGATTGGTAGAAAGTTATAATTATGTAGCTTTATTTAGAAACCCCTGATATTTATATTTTTTTGAAAAAAAAACAAAACTTCAATATAAGTGTGAACAGTCCATGAACATTAAAAGAGCTTCTGCTAAATATGGTAAAAAAGTATATATCAATAAAGAATATAATGTTGACTGTAAGAGTTTTATATTTGCTGTGAACAGAGGATAGAGTTCAATTTATTAATACTGACGGAATTATGACAGTTCAGGTCTGCATAAAGCATTTCCTTAGGAACAATTGCTATTCAATATGGAGCTTTAGTGCATTTAATACAAAAAGGAAGTGTGAGCCTAAATGCTGCACAATGGTCTCACTGCGCGTTCAGACTGGTAGCTGTGCGCTCAGATTGTTGGCACAAAAGTAAAGGCATATTTAGATAGTGTTTATCATGGCAACTGCTAACGCATTTCTGCCCGTAGCTTAGATGTCTATAGCGATTTAAAGGTGTTATGTTTGAGCCATGTTTTTTCAGCTTCAATACCTTTAGTGGACCAACACCTGTGATCAGGCCAGCTAACAGGCTTGGCTGTATTCAAGCCCCAATAAACATAAAGTGTGATTTGATCAATCTTTGAATAAGGTCATGCCAAAAAATTAACATTTTTAAGTAACCTTTTCTGGAATTAAATACATTAAAAACATAAAATAGCAGTTAAAATGTTTATAATTAAGTATTCAAAATTAATGCATTAAAGATTAGTAAAATTAGTAGCTTCATCTCACATAGAGCTCACTGACTGTTCTTTCTTTTAATAAAATGACGACAATGAAACAAGTGTCCCCTGAATACCAACATGCCAGCTGTAGTGACCGAAAGTTCTTTATCAGCAAATGAAAATATAATTTATAACAGCAGACTTGCATAATATATGATAATGTAGCCTTAGTTATATTTACAGTACAGAACTACTGGAGTTATTTTCAGATTACACGTAAATAGAGTCATTAAATCCATGGGGGAAAAGGAATTACTTTAGGGGTAGGAGTAGGATTCACTCAATGATAGCAAACTAATGAGCCTACTGGCACAATCTGAAGCCATTCTATGGGCCTGATAGCCGCTTTATAACAGCCATTTATTGTGATAATAACATCCGAAGCGCGGCTGCAAACAGCCACTGATTTACTGTGTAAAAGAATCAACATGAGGGACGCATGAGAGGATCCACTGGTTCTATCTATTAGAACAACGTTTTTTATTCTTCATTCTCACCTGCTGCCAGGAGATTTCACCTGAATAGATACATTTATTACCACTCAAGAAATAATCCCGTAATCTTTTCATTGTAACAAGTATGGCAAGCCATTTTGATATTTACTAGTTTTACTGAATATGTATTCCTGATATCTGAAAAAACAACAACAACAATAAACTCTCTTTGTCTAAATAACCATTTCAAACAAAATAAAATTCTCCACATCTAGGATAAACATTCTGGATGTCTATAAATTAATTTCAGATCTCCATATTGCATTAGTTAGCATTTGTATAATTTTAACTATGAATTTTTTTCTTTTAGATATCATAAATGCATTTACAGGCAAGCTGATGAATGTCAGAACGGCCACTTCTAATTTGTAAACATTTCTAGATATATAAAACTTACTAGTATAATTATCTTAATAGTATCTTACAAGTGTATTTTTTTTTACTGTCTAAAATTCAGTTTCTGCTGCAAAAATGTAACTTAGAAAATATATTATTACAGTTAGGTCTAGTAGTGTGATTTAGATCAGGAAGAATCTTATTTTAGGGATCTAAAAAAGGAACATCAGAGAGGTGAGGGTTTTTAATAAATGTAAAAATGGCCTGCCAAAGCCCACTTCATATACCGGTAAACATACGCATTAACTGAAGCAACAATCTTCTCCCTCACCACCTTCCTGTACTTTGTAGCTGTAGCTCTGTTTTTGTCTTCAAAACACATTCTCCTTTTTTATTTTATTTTTTTTGCAGTTCTGTAATCAAATCTCTAGTTCCAGTGGGGTGAAAGATTCCTCCCCTTTGCCTGTTGTCACGGTGGCTCATCCAATAGGTGCTCGGATAATGGCTTTTAATACTTGTTGCGCACGTGTTTACCTCGGAGTGGACCCAGTTAAAATTGATTGAACTAATTCATAGCAGCCATTGTGAAACCGAACACTCAGAGTTCCCGACTTTAAGCTAGATCAATTTAGAGTTGCGGATTTGAATATGAATTTTTCATGAAACGGACCCCAGGTAAGTGACTCACATGGATAATCATCATCCGTCAGATTATCGTGGTCATTTACCTGTGTTTCTCTCTAACCAGAGTGCCAGTGATGGCTTGTGCCCCGCCTCCCTCGCAGTCGCTGTAGATCCACAGCTTTGCATTCTGTGCAGTTTATCTTATTGAATCTTTTGAACTTTTCCACTGTCTGTCTCGCTTGAATTCTGGGTCCTACATTCTGAGACCATTACAGCATGAGGCCCAACGAGTCGATGCAATCGGCTAGTTTTCCTTAAAAAGCTTTCAACCAATTTGACTGTATGGTCTGAATAATTTGTCTCTGTTAAGTGCCTTGAGATGCCATGTGCTGTAAATTGATGCCATTTAAATAAACTGAATGGAATTGAATAGATTTTTTTTATGAGTTGTTGTAGAGGAGGTTCTAGAGGTGTAAAAAACAGAGCTAGAACAGAGCCAGCCTTCTTTATTAGCTTATTGAGTTTTTTTTTTAATACATTAGCTCTGATGTTGTTACCCCAGCAGATTAGTGCAGAAGATATCACACTCTCCACAAAATTCTAATAGAACACATGCAGCATCTTTCTGCAAACACTAAAAGAGATACGCTTTCTGAGGAAGTACAGTCTGCTCAGTCCTTTCTTGTAGATATTGTGGGAATAATAAATAATTTTCTTTCTCACCTGCCCCTCTGCTCCAGCCAGTTTTGACTTGTATCTCATACTTGAAGCACCCGTTCTGGCCGCAGAGTGGTACCACACCTGCTTGGCGAAGGTCTAACTGATCCAGTTTGTGCAGGATGGCTGCAGCCACAATGTAGCTCAGCAGTCCAAGTATGCACACCAGCAGCACAATCAAGCTTGGTGCACCTGACTGCTCCTAAATACACAGGAAGGTGTAATAAGGTCATAGTCTGTGTCGTATTTTTAAAAGATATTTCCCAAAAGTAAGCGTTTTATTGTGGTACTCACTGGCATCTTAAAGCTAACGGCATTGCTGGGTACAAACAGGCCTGCTGCAAAAGAGGTGAGGTGTCTGGTGCGGCAGACAGCTCTGCTGAAGTTGGTCTCTGCCAAAGGCACCATGCCGTCTGTCCTCCACTGCTTCTCGGCCTCACTGAAGTACTGACACAGTGTGGCAAACACCCCCACCTCCAGGCGAACACTAGCAGGCTGTGAATCAGGGCTGCATGGCATGCTTACATTGATGAAGTAATCCTGAGTAGTGTCATAGGACCTGGTAAAAGCAGCACAAGTGTGAGAAATTGTCAAACTGTCTGCATCTTTTCTACTAACTCCATCATGGTAACACTTTGTTCATTGAAATGCAATTTGCTGTCTACATGGAAAACATCAGACCATTCAGTCTGGTGAAAAGCTTAAGCTGAGACCCCTATAGGGCTGCACCACCATGCAATATCAGTACAGCAGTATATTTAAGCATAATCATCAGTGAGTTGACTGCAAACACAAAGGACAGACTTCATGCAATATTTGTCAACCTTATATATTTTATTTGCATAACTGTTTACCTGTAGATGTTACATTTGATTAATTGAATGGACTCTAAAAGCTCCTTCATTCCCACATCACATGTTTATATTTCAATGACTTAGTTTCTAAAGCTTACAGAGATCCGTCGGCTTCCTATTCAATACTTTATTAGTTAGAATTGATGCTTCATTTCAATTGTAAGCCATGATATCATAAATCAATAAGTTCCTGATATCTTGCTACACAAATAAAAAAGAAACACTACAATACCAGCCATAAATTGGTTGGATTTCATGTATTTTGAATCCAGGAAAATTCTGATGTCATAAAAAATGGAACCAGGCAAATAGTTCTCCATGCAGATAAGGGTAATAAAATCGGTGGTGAAGAGACTCTTACTCTGGTGACAGAAAGAAGGTGTACTTCCTGTGGTCCTGCCCTCTGGTCATACTGAGAGTGATACGCTTTCGGTCCGTGCAGTTGAACTCATTGGGTTGCTCATGGGAGTGGAGGTAGGCGTTTAGGAAGGGCTCCTCTTTCACCGTTTTGTCTACATCATTCTTGTTGGCTTCTGAGAAGGAGTAAAAAAATAACAAATGCTATGATTCTATCAAAATAATAACTTGAAATAAAAGAAAATTAAATTTAAACTTGGACAGCGGAAAGTAGCACATGTGAAAAAAACAGGTAAAGCCTGAGCAAAATTAAAAGCAAAAATAAAACTTTAAAATACAAAAATAAATGAATTAAGTGAGTAGTTTTTGCTTGCTTAACAATAAACAAAAGTAGTCAGATCTATCTATAGAAATTTGATCCTTTAATAAAAGAAAGGTACATTCTATAATCAGTTTCCAACTTGATTCTTACTATTTTTATTTTATTTTATTCTCATCAACAATAGTAGAAAGCAGAGTGTGCTTTGTTTAGCTTTACTGAATAAGAATGTGTACCTAACTCTGTGGGAGAGTAACTGACTCTCTGTCTTTAGTCCCATTTACCACAGAATTAGAGAGAAAACACAAAGATGTGGCAAGATCCTTAAAACTGATTGCCAATGTAAAAATTGAAGAGAAAACTCAACTAATGCATAAATATTTTGGATTTCTGACAGTACATCACAATTAAGTCCCGGTTATATAGAGAGAGCAACATGTCATTGTCATATATTGGTGAAAAGAGGAAAACTGAGCCCACAAAGCATGATAAAAAAAAGAGATGAAAGGAATGTCCTTCATGTTAATGAGAGTCAGGTTTTAAGAGCTTCCTCAGGTTGCTCTGTAGGTAGTTGCTCACCTTCTATAGACGTGAAGTTGAGCTGCACAAACAGGCCTGCCTGTCGATTGCTGTTTCCTGCACTGACCCTAACAACCACCGAGTTGCAGCGGCTGACGTTTACGGCTCCGGCCAAGGGGAGGCCAGCGGTGCCAGGACCCTCAGCACCTGCTTCCCCACTGCAGCTGCTGTTGTTAATGGCAACAGTAATGGCCATGCTGTCATCAAGCCCTGAGATGGGGATGTGGGTGCCATTTTCTGTGCGAAACTCCATGGATGCCACCTCAGTGGAAACAGCGTAATTGGAGATGTAGTTGAAGGGAAAGGGATTGGACTCCACCTGGGTAAAATTGATGTGAATGAGGGCTCAGACTGCTGTGATAATGAGACACTCTGTTGGCATTCTGCTGAGCTCTTGTTCTAAACACGCTGTTCATCTTGAGTATAACTTGGTACTTTTCATTACCTGAAAAAGTAGCTGCAAGATGCTGTTTCCTACAGCAGCTCTGCCAAGACTTTGGTTGAAAGCTCGAGGGATGGAGAACTGCTGGCATTCTGGGAGAACAAAAGAAGATAAAAATTTACCAGCTCTAGAAAACAAAACTACAATAGATCACAACTGGATTAAAGCAACCTTCTTACAAATACTTCCATACCCCTGGAACCTTTTACCTCTTTTTACTTCACTTCATACTTCATGTTTCCATGCAAAGTAGTACCTAATTATGAAATGAGCGATAAGTAAGCAGCTGTACAGACATGTAATAACTGCTGGGAGGAAGGCTTTGCATTAACTTTCCTAAGTACACATGTTGCAGCAGTCTTTCTAGCCGCAACAGCTTCACGTTCGGGATGGGAGACATTTTCCAGCTGTGATTTCTATTTTTGACAAAGGCTTTCTGTGCATCTCACCCCTTGAAATGTTTACAAGAACAAAGCTTTTTCTCAGCTATGGATAAGCTGCTTTAAACAAACTACACCACAGCAAATGGCTGGTGCGACTACAGTCAAAGAGCAGCCTTCCATCTACTAGATGCTGAAGCCATCAGGTTTCCCCTGAGGGATGTTGTGTTCAGGTAATGTACTGCATACATTGTCTGCACAATGAGAATGTAGGACGGGAAGTTTAAATTTTGGTTTGATCTGATCAGAGCATCTTTTTCCATAGATTTACTGTTTCTGCTTGCATGGCGCTTGTCAGGTGGTAAGCAGGATTCTTTATTGCTGCCTTAGAAAAACTCAGCAACCTATCTCTCTTCCATAAAGGCTAGCTTGTAATATGCAGCCCTTTTATCTCCTCTTTCTTTCGTCTTTTCTACTTTTTTCCTGTTTTTCCTTTCCTGTTCTACTGACAATGCAGTCTCCATATAATCTGTAAAACTCCCTGGATAATTATAATAAAGCAATTTACAGGCATAAATCAAGCGGAACACTATGGCGATAGCGGTACTGCTCCACTTGTGAAAGTAAAATCTGTTGGGCTCTTTTTGGCATCAAGACAATTATTCTTATTGCCACATTGGCTGACAGGACACTGTTAAAGAAAAAAAAATGCAGGACCAATATCTGTCCTGTTAAGAGATTGTCATTGTAGTGGATTTTAGGGTGCCTAATGTAGGCGCACACTAAACCTTTCACATTATAATAATAACTTCCATTACAGGTTTTATTTGGATAAGGGGATTCTCTTTTCCACTGTCACCACATACTTGTAAACATACTTGCATTGCTACAATGGTGACAATTTCAAGCTATTAGTTGGGAATCTATAGATATTTAGAAAAACTATAGCCTACCGGCACAATTAAAATTGACTTTAAATTATGTTACAGAATCGATTGTTAAGGTATCTATTTATATCGGAATCTGTCTATTTGCCTGAATTAGTTCTTCTGCATATTATTCAGATCAGTTTCATGTTCCAATGCTTCACAGTGTTAAGTCAAAATATGACAAAAAAGTTAGGGGTCTAAATACTTGCAAGATGCTTCTACCAGTGCCTCACATACTAAACAAGGGGGCAAACCTGGGCTGCTGTTGCCATGGTAGCACAGGAGACTCTGGGGGTCGGCCAGTTTTCCTGTGGCAGCTATCTCAGCCCCCCTTAGGATCAGTGGCTCCTCGTTGGGGACCCGGGCATGCATGAGGATGAGCATGAGGACAGAGGACAGGCTGTAGGCCTTTGCTGCCACGTGCAGAGGGTGTGGTTCTGGTGGGAAATGTGGGGCTTCGATCAGGAGGTTTCCATGTTCATCAGGCAATGACGAGGATGAGGAGGGAGAAGGACTATCCACATAAGTATAATGGGAGGCTGATTGGCTGACCTGATGAATCAGATCACCTGATGAGAGGAGAAGAGAAAATTAGAAAGTTAAAATACATTTCCTGTATTTCCAATACCACAGAACAAGACACAAAAGACTTTTATTTTTTGATTATACAGTATTTTCATGACCATAAGGCGCATCGTACTAAAAGGCGCAGTCTCAGTTATGTGTGCCATTTCTGTATTTAACACACACATAAGGCGCACCGGACTATAGGGCGCGTTTTTTATATACCGGTACAGATCCTCTACTACGTTTAAATAGCTCTACTGCATATTTAAAAATAGAGCGTGAGCAAAACTGATTATGATTGTGCTTTATACATGTATTTATTACAAAGTATTAA